CAAAATTCAGCCTGCCATGAAGAAACAATTAAGCGTTGATAATAGTCCGGAAGACATCCTACCAGCGGAGTCACAAGCTGGCGAGCTCTCCTTCTTGGAACCAATCCAGGATGATGCGGTATTCGGTGAAATTCGCGAAGGAGACACCAATTATCGTAACGTGAGCTCCCTCATAGTGTCTCCGAAAAGCTAGCCTGTACTAACGAAGCCCAGGTGAGCTGTATAGGAACCGTTGCCCTTATGTTGAAAGTGCAAATTGGCCTTGGAGTTCTCACGATACCCAGCTGTTTCGACATTCTTGGGATAATACCTGGAGTTATTGTTCTGCTTGCAATTGCAGCCACGACAACCTGGTCGAATTGGATGGTGGGCGTGTTCAAAATACGCCATCGTGAGGTCTATGGCATCGGCGATGTTGGAAAGATGCTCCTTGGGCGCGCTGGGTACGAGCTGTTCGGCGGGGCTTATATCCTATGTGAGTGATTATGGTGCTTAATTTAATCTGGTTTGTGTCCTGACCTATTGCAAGACTATATCTTCACTGGTGGATCTGCTCTCTTGAGCATCTCGATCGCCTTTAATGCGCTCTCTGATCATGCAGCATGCACTGCCATTTTTGTGGCTGTTGCAGCCATCATTGGCTTTGCCTTCTCTAGTATCCAGACTCTTGCCCGTATAAGCTGGCTCGCCTGGATAGGTGTATCGTGCGTTATCATTGCAGGCAAGTGTGTTTTTGCAGATGCGGACTTGGATTTGGTCTAACCATTGCCTAGTCTTTATTGTAACCATCGGTGTCGGGGTCCAGGGCCATGCCCCAATGACTGCAGGTGTCATCCCAGAATCCGACTATAAGCTCTTCGGCAGCCCAAGCTTTGTTGAGGCCATGAATGCCGTGTCAACGATAACTCTAGCCTACGCCGGGGCCCCAGCATTCTTTAACGTCGTCTCCGAAATGCGTGATCCGAATCTCTTTACTAGATCCCTCACTATATGCCAAGTTATTGTCACCGCAATCTACATAGTGGTCGGAACAGTTGTATACTACTACTGTGGTTCCCATGTAGCCTCACCAGCTCTTGGCTCTGCTGGACCCTTGCTCAAAAAGATTAGTTATGGTTTTGCGCTACCGGGGTTGTGTGTTTCTGCGGTCCTATTTCTTCACGTGAGTCTTCGTTTCATTTTGGTCCATGATTGAATACCCATCTAAGGCTCCCGACCATATACAGTTACCTTCTAAACACATCTTCATGCGCATCCTCCGGGGCTCTAGACACCTTACTGCGCCGACCCCAACTCATTGGATCACCTGGATAGGCTCCACTTTCAGTATAACTACAATCGCGTACATCGTCGCCAGCAGCATTCCCGTATTCAGTGATCTTGTATCACTTGTTGGTGCTCTTCTGGCCACATCATTATGTTTCCAGCCTATGGGGTTTATGTGGCTGTACGATAACTGGGGACCCGGCAAGGGAGAGAAGTCCATGAAGTGGTGTTTATGTGTGGCTTGGTGTGTGTTTATAATCCTAACTGGGGTCTTCTTGACGATCGGCGGCACTTATGCTTCGGTAGTGAGCATTATACAGTCTTACCAGGAGACTGGAGGATCCTCTGCTTGGTCTTGTGCTGATAATGATAACTAAGTGGCGTTCAGTCTTTCTGGTATATGCAGTTAATGAGTTGAGTATTGAGAGGGAATTCTATAGCATAGGCTGTTACATTGGGTGGTGTTCATGCTTTGCTTCACTCTTGTTCACGCTCTGTAACACGTGAAATGACATGTGGGAATCTTAGTATCCCAATTACATCTCATACCCTAGAGTACCACCAGGTCTGATATGTCAAGCCCAGGGTAAACACAGCCTCCGGATTATACCCCAGCCTTCGGCAGTGGAGGAATGCGAGCTGCAGCAAGACTTGCCGGCTTGGAAACTCCCGCGGAGCCACTTGCCGTTTCCGCTGGGGATATCAACCACCCTTGATAAGATAAGGTTTAGCGTTCCATAATATCCAGTGTAATCGCTGGATTAGATATGAAGGCTGATACGAGGCAGTAAATTTATCATCAGTGTAGAGCGACCAATGTGATCTTGCTTTCGGTAGCAATATGTGGATCTTCGATCCCGTTGCCTCCATCGTGGTCTATCGTGGTGATTGCAGGGTGAAACATGGGTTAGTAACAGGAAAAAAAGAGCATATAACTCTTTTCAAAATCACTACAAGCACATACGACCATAGGGTGTGGAAAACAGGGCTTCCCGTCCGCTCAGCCGTACTTAAGCCACACGCCGGGAGGTTAGTAGTTGGGTGGGTGACCACCAGCGAATCCCTTCTGTTGTATGTTTTTGCATTTCATTTTTGAAATCATTCATTCCTATGTGCACTGATAATATATACCATAGAATAAACAAACCATTTGCATTGTGGTCATCTGAAGTATGCGCCAGGCATAACTTACGAAGCCAAAGAAAGTAAAGACTGACGCCGGGGTAGTGATATCACGTGTTGACATGCATCCATAACAGACCATTGATTGATCCTGCCGCTCATAAGCGAGTGGGCTCAAAATACGGCCCAGATCGCTGGACTGACGCTTCGCTGAGTTGATCAATCTTCATAACACCCTCTAGGAGTTGTAGGGCCATTGCGAAACCTGCGCCTCGCCCAATGTCTTGGAGACGGCGGATGACCCACTTTCTGGATTTGCGTTTGGTGACGGGAGACTTTCCAACCATATAGAGGGTCCAGATCAAAGAATAACCGCCCGGCACGCTCGCAGTTGACGTCAAATTATAAGAGACATGTTGCCCAGATACGAGCGATACATAACCGAGCATCTGTGGAACGGTAGCCAGCATGTCCTCCCCGAGACTTGTCATGATTTGTACTGTCTCTTGGTACTTCGCTTCCAGGGTCATTCGCACCGCCGAAGGAAGTTCGGTGGCCAAAACCTTCATCAAAATGGAATATAAAATCTCGGAGACGATCATTCGGATACATCGTGCATTGTTCCAGACTCGTATGGCCCAGGTGGATTGGTAGACGTCAAATCGCCCCTCGTGAAAGACTTCGGGGTCTGCTGTTGGCTCATAGATTGTTGTGTATGGGTCTGCTAGGCTGATAATTTCAAAGACGCACCGAAACTCTTCCTGGAGGATAATCGCCTCTTCCAGCTTTTCCGACCACGAGACTTTCGATTTGTTTTGTGTGACGCTATAGAGAAGGTTTACACACTTGGTAGCTGATACTCCGAGGAGCCAGAATGGACTATAAGCATCGGCGTGCTTGGACGCCTCACCCTGCAGCGCCAGCAAGTCCTCCGGAAACGGTTGATTGCCGTGTAGACAAGTGATCACCGTGTCTGCGCGTACTTGGTTGAACATGAGTGTTGCGGCTGTGCTAGTGAATTGGCTCTTGCCTCGGAGAACCACTAGTGCGGCAGCTCCTCGGACATGTCGCACCCACGACTGGAAATTGGAGACATGCTCAAATACGCCTAGTGAGATGACAGACATCAGGGTGCTGTCTTTGACAGAGTCAATAGGTGACGCCAATGCCGTGTTAACATTCGCAATTGCCTCGGAATATTTGATGCGTGCGTGCCGAGCCAGCTCGGGTTGTTGATTGGAATTGGCCAGTGCCACGAGGCCCACCGCGGCCATGCTGGTCACCAGTGTGTAGTGCTCCGCCTCGGCATTGTAAACCGCGGGGATATAGTTGAAAAATCCACGCGAGGGAGTCTGGTTGTTAATGACAAAGTTGTGAAGGAAATAGTTGACACCGATCTCATCCAGGCTGGGCCCTAAGCCAGGGGTGGGTGGTGAAGGGGTGCGGCTTGAGGTTGTCGAGCCATTGCGTTTTGCTCGTTTCTCTTTAGATCGCTTGATGGTCTTGTCGGTCTGGTCGCGAAAGACAAGTTCCCATTCATCGCGATAGCCCGGACATTTTTCTCGCATGCGGATACATTGTCCACAGTGGGGTATCTGCTGGTCGCACTGAACCGAGATCGGCCCCTGTCAGCATTTATTTGGCCGCGAAAGACGAAAAAGCAAAGTAGCAAAACAAAAAGAACACCCACGCGTCGCTTCACAGCCCGACAGTTTCCACAATTGCGGGAGGCTCTTGGGCGAGGCGCTTTTCCCGATGCCATTTCTCGCTGTCTGCGCCGTAAGGATACGTTGACAAGGGGTCAAGAGGGGAAACCCCGAGGATCGTGATGAAGTTAAAGAACCTCCTCCCCGGGCTGAGGCTGACTAACTAACCGCGGGTAAAGGAGGCTTAAAGTCGGTTAAGCAGTTTTCGTTGAAGAGCTTAACCCTTGAACAAGCTCAGCTCTCCTCCTCTAGCCAGCCTTGTCTCGCCCCGCGCTGTGTGTCTATGCCTTGCCACGTGCACTACTACTCTTTGGGCAATCCTGAGCACAACCTAGCGACCCACGATGCAGTGACTCAGCCTCCTCCGATACCCAATCCGCCCCCACTTACTAGATTTTGACGACGGCATCTTGTTGTGGGCTTTTGGTGGGAAAGGCAGACGATCGTCACTGGGTTCACCGCATTGCCAGCCGTGGCGTCTTAGCGGCTTAAAGAAAGGGAGGAATGCAGGAAGACCCACGGCCAGTGAGGGCGCTTGACTCGTAGCTGGGGCGCAGCCATGGTTCCGGACTGGACTTTCTGCGTGTGTCGGTTTCAGCTGGAATTCCACTTGACTTTATCTTCCCTTCCCGCTTGCGCTATACCTTATCCGGTAGTGTAGATGCTCGACCAACCAGGGTGACAGTTCCGTCGATTCTGAAGTATAACAAACAATCTGTTCGACAAGGCTGTGTTCTTTAGGTTATGACGCTCCACAGCATCTTCAGAAATATAAAGAGAGACAGAAATCATGTCTTTCAGATTTCAGACAGAACTCACTTTCCTATCCACTCTCCTTCTTTTTTGTCACTTCATCTCTAGCAGTACCACACCTTTACATCATCTACTACAACAACTACAGCAACAATGGGCACTGTTACCTATCGTGATGGCATTGCTATTCTGCAACTCGTTGTCTTCCCCTTTATCCTCGGCGCTGCAATATTCATATGGAGCCGGGCTGGCTTGAGGGTTGGAAGCAAGATCTGGCGATATCCTGTTACGCTCTCTCTCATTCGAATTGCCGGTAGTATCGCGTCGCTGTTGTCAATCAACCATGATTCCAAGAATGTCGAGATTGCCATCGCAGTATGCGAGTTGATTGGTCTCGCACCTCTGTTGTTGACCTATGTCGGAGTTCTCAGACAAATGTGAGTCCCCTCGGACAAGTCGCAGAGAGCACATGACGCTAACAATCCTATCAGTGATATCAATCAAGTAGTTCCAGTCAGATGGCTCAACATTGTGTCTATCGTCGGTATCATTGGTCTCATAATCGGTATTGCGGGAGTCAGTACCGCTAGTGACGACGGAGGCAGCTACCAGCCAAGCAACACCGTCAAAGCATCCATGGCTATTTTTATCGCTCTATTTGTGGTCTATCATCTGCTCGCCGCTTTCATGTACCTCCAGATGGGTCACCTGAAGGCCTTCCAGAAGAAGTTGTTCCTCGCCATCATCCTATCCACTCCTTTCATCCTGGTCCGCGTTGTCTACGCAGCGATCGGCGACTTCACCACCATCGAGCGGTTCTCCATTATCAGCACTAATGGAAGCCCCACCATCTACCTTGTCATGGATGTGCTGGAAGAGATTGTTGCTATGGCCATCACAATGTTTTTGGGTATGTCGGCTGTGCTTGAGCCTGACTTTGTGCGCCTGACCCCGGCCCAGTTGGACTCTGAGCCAAAGGCTGAGGTCGCGTAATGTGTCGAGTTCTGTAGTGAGCTGCGACGATTCTTTTTGTTCTGAGTATGACTACGCACGTGTGCATTTTTTCCTTACCTATTTTATTGTTCTTATTGCAGCGCGAAAGTGATACCTGTTGGTTTTTCTATGTGTTGGGAGAGGATACCTTGATGAAAATACAAATATATAAGACGGGATACAAATACAATCATTTATTTCAGCTATATCATAAGATGCTACGTCCATATTATTCTCTATCTTGTCTTTGGTGCCGTTGAGTTAGAGGTAGGTATGTTGCAAACCATTATTACCTATGAACCAAGAAGGTAGACCTTGACAGCTCATGAGGGCCGTGCTCAGAGTTATCCGAACAGGCCAATGGTACATGCAGTAAACTACCCGAACAGGCCAATCAAAGTTGGAATTAGGGCCTGAAATACGTGTTCCATCGTTCCAGAAATCCTAATCCCAAGGCTGAGTTGTGTCTGACCACCTACTCCACCATCCGTGCACAGTTTCACCATCATCTTTACTTTTTGAGGCAGGCCCCTAGTTTCTCCCGCATCGGGTTAAGGCCGCATGGATTTTTGCCTAAGATGCAGAAAGTATCATTATTGATTTGAATTCTCACCGTAAACATGACTGGCGACATCCCCCCCAGATCAAAGCACGGGAAAACGTGGATTTTGGCCCCCATGTCAGGCTATTTCGCCTCATCCTGTTGCAATAAAAGACAAGCCATTTTAGAGTCCATAATTTTACCAGCTCTACTCGTTTGACCTGTTCGACTACTGGGCGTTGGATGTATGTTCCAGGCGCACTGTTGACAATTCGCAATAATTATACTGACTGGCATCTATAGTTACAATGAGCGCATACGACTAGAAGAGAGGAATCGGAACTTTAATGTCCCAGAGCTTAAGCGCTTACCAGCTTCATCAAATCGTCAGAAGCAGGAAGATGTGATCGGCTTTACAAAGCTTGCCGAGGCAGGCTTCAATAGGACCTTCTTAATCACCATGCAGTACAATTTTTAATTTGTAGCCCGCATTCCATGTCCAGGGACTCAGCCACGGTCACAAACTAACTGGTCATTGCAAGCGAAGTGGATACTGTGGAGAATCTCCGTTCGCATGGAATACCCGTTCCAGAGGTCTATGGCAATTCCGCTAGTGCTGACAATCCCGCGGGAACGGAGTACATCTTTATGGAGCTTGTTATGGGGCGCAGCCTGGGCGATGCATGGTTCAATCTACCCCCAGAACAGAGAACGGAAATCGTCACTGAAATTGTAGGAATCAAGTCACGACTATTTGCACTGCGGTTCTAGCAAGTGGGAGTTTCTATTGTTGCTCTAACGCGCCTGACAGTAGTAAAGTGGTTATTACAGACTTGTTGCCGACTACAAAGGGCGATACTGCATTGATCCGACACGTCGCTCAGACTAGGGTATGAAAGAGAGTCCATCTACCGGTGGAGCGTGGACCACGTGAGTATTGCTGCCACGAGCATTTGGGATTGACTTGAGATCAGTAGCTAAGACTTTGCAGACCCAGACTGCCTCCCAGCTCTCATTGCGGGCGCTAAGAAAGAGATCGCATACCTTTCCCGATTCGGGAAACCCTTCTCAGCCCTTCGGGCGCCTTCGGATGGAGACTTGCAATCTTAAGCTGCAACCACATCTCGTCCACATTACAAGCTTCGAGTAGGAACTTCAAACTACTCCCACTATCCTTCCTAAAGTCCCAGGCCTTCATCGCTCAGTCTTCCGACCCCGCGATCTTCACCGAACAACATGATTGTCTCTGTTTGATTGGACCTTGAAGGGTTGAATGACTGACAGCACAGCACCATACTCCCTCGTTCCTATAATGGGACATTGCAAACAGCCTACAGAGTTACGGCGATGATGTGTCCAAGTCTCTCCAGGAGCCCACCGTACCCAGTAACCTCAATGAGCTGGGATCAGAAGAACAGGACCAATAGGCTGAATCATTCCACAGGCGTCAGCCTCACTACCACTATATCAAGCAGACTTCTGGGGTAAATCCAAAACACTACGATGCACTGAGATATTTATTAATAGACTGAGACGCCTCTTTCATTACGCCAGTATTCATGTGAGGGTGATAACTTGACTCCCAAATGAAACCTCTTTGACTGGTTAAGCAAGTAAGTTGACATCAATAGCAGCAATGCACAACCTTGTAGTACACTTGTGTATTCATAGATTGAGTCTAAACAATCTCCGAGGTTGACAAGCGCACAAGATGTAGACGATGAGCAGATAAGAAAAAAGTGCCAGGATTTTATTGGAGTAGTGAGTGAGGGATGGGTTCCTAGTGATCAATTTGAGGAAATGAAAGTACGAGAACAAGCATTAAAGAAGCTGCTTTGGAGGCAGACGAATCAGAAGATCAGAGAGCGATGGTCGAAGAGAACTGGCTCTTGACGACATTCGTGAGGATGGCTACACGTGGACGGTTGCACTGTATCATACACTTGTTTTCTAGTTCTCATTAGCCATTTCAATATCAATGCATGTTTATCTGGGACAATAAGATCTAACTCTGTTATTACCCTTTCACACGCTCATTCCCTGACTCTAGAAACCTCAAAATGGCATCAAATCCCTCCGGCGCTTTAATCCAATGCCCATCCCCTTCTGCCCCAACATACTCCAACCACTCGACCTCCATCCCCGCCCGCTTCATAATCCCAACCACCTGCCACCCCAACTCCACAGAAACCATTGGATCATCCGTCCCATGGCCCAAAAGCACCGGCGTATTCAGAAATCTCATATCATCACCCGCAGAAATCCCCACAACCTCCGAACAAAACTCAACCAACCGTCTCCCCCGATCCAAATCCCCATTGTCAAACCTCTCCGCAAACGGCATCCATCCACAAAAGCCCAAGACTCCCCCCAATCTCCCCTGCACCTTGCTACTCGCGCAAAACCAACTCCACAGCGCACTTGCCATGCCTTGACTAATCCCACCTAGATACACATGTGTGGTCTTACCATTAAGAAGCTCGATCTCTTTTCCCAGAACATCGAGAACATGAGAGACAGAATCCCGCAATCCAGAAACTTGTGATTCCTGGCGCTCAGTGATATCATCTAGAGAATACGCATCGAACCAGGCACATAGATCCTCCTGGAAGCGATCGCTCCAGCGGTCTTTGGAAGTGGGGAATACCCAGCGCCAGGTTGGGAGATGGGAGGGAAGATTTTGGCCCGTCGATGTCGAAGAGGAAAACAGTTCCTCGGCGAATTCGGGCCCGTTGCTGCCGCGCCCGTGGAGGAGGATGGCTGTGTGGGTGTGAGGGCCTTGGGGGAGGTGAATGTGTGGTTCTGGGAAGTTTGTATTCATGATGTAGGTTTGTACTTGGAAACGGATGTTATGTTATTGATGAAAGTTAAGATGATGTGGTGTGGAAGACATGAAGAAAGGACGTGCGGGGTTTGGCGGGAAGAAGTTGTTCATTCTCACATCCACTAGTTAGCTGCTCCGTAGATCGATTTCAAACCTAGAATCAGTCTGTACCGAGTAAGCTCGCAACGGCTCTGGGGTTCAACGCTTGTGATATGCATTATGTCTATGCAATGACCTGATGAAATACGAGAAACATTTCTTCACAGGATCCAAGAGTGTGATGATTATAAGAGTGGTCTGGGCTTAGGGATATCTAGAGTGAATGACATGATCGATATATAATTTGATCATATCTAGTTGAATGTCATTAATTCAAATTCACACTGACCTTGAATTCCATGTAGATCTAATTCACATTCGACTCAATTCATATTTTCTGAGCCAACCCAGCCTGCCAACTGGATGAACATCTTCCTCATGTCCTCGCCCCCTTGAGATCAGGAAGATCTATGCTGTGTCTCTTATTTTTGAATCGATGATGTCTCCGTTAGTCAAAATACCCTACTGGGGAAGACTGGTGATACATATAACTGATAATCCCTCATAGAACAAACAATATGAACAGTCGGATAACGGTGGTCATGTATAGGGCTGAGACCGATGAGCCTTGCCACTGGGCCATTTGGATAAAAGATGCCAACGCAAAGTCTATTATTCTGCAGGTTGGGCTCAACAAGGACGGCTACTGCGTGGAAGAGCCCATCCTCAGAGATCCTCTACTATCGGAACGTATCAAGCACGCAGTGTACTGCGGGACCATCCCTTCAGGCGAACAAGACCTGGCTTTGTCAATAATTCAAAATCACCCCGTCGATAATGAAAGTGCCACCTAGAACTGCCAGGCATGGATCATGGAAGTCTTAGAGGGGATGGAGCAGACGGGACTACTGCATATTGCCCCCGGGTCGAAAGCGACCCTAGAATCGATGCGCCAGAAAGTTTAATTAAACTCCATTGAAACATCTGCATCTTGTCGATGAATTACTTCGGTCTAGAAACGCTGCTGTTGGTTTTTCTGCAATTCTTCCTTTACTTAAACCGAGAGTTAAGCCAAGCATAAAAGTAAATGATAGAAGCCATTATCTTCCCGCTCCGCCCTGATTATATCATTTAAATTCATTGCCGTGTGCGCATACCATTACCAGTTTTCCAAATGCCATTGCCGGGTCATCGACCCCATTTATCTAACATCAGGTCGACTGCATGCTCCTTAGGCCAAACCCCGATCGTTGTTGGCAAGTACTCCCACCAATCCTCATAATCGCATCCTGGAAAGATTGTGTTCAATGCTTTCAGGTACTCCCAGTATTCTGGATACCAACCACACGTTTCCCAATCTATTATACCTGTAATTGTTACTCGCTCCGATGGCACGTCGTCTGTACCGGGCAAGGCTTCGGATGTCTGTAGACACTGTCCGTCGACTTCGTTGGGGCTAGATGAGTAAGGGGTGACAGTAACCATGATGTTTCGAGGATGAAGATCTGCATGGGTCATCACTAGTCTGTGTCCAGTTGTCATATATGATCGAATCATCGCAATTTGGCTCGTTTCAGTACGCCGAGGATTAAATGACAGGAAATGATTGAACTCTGTCTCATTGCTGATCGGCGTGTCTGCCACACGAGTCTCTCTTCTGGTATCTTTACATCGGCGAGGCGTGCCTCCACCGTACACTGCACCAGGTTCATCGGATGCTGTAAAAGGGAGCGACCTTAGGTCACTGAAGATGGCACCTAGCTGCTCTCGGACCGACGCTTTCTGGTAGGGGCTCAACGCCTTCCAAATTGAACCCAGCGGTTGTCCCGGCACGCGGGACATGAAGACAAAGTTCCGAGCAGTGCCGGTTTGTTGCAACAAACCGTGAGTATCCGGTATAGGAACTCGCAAATTTTGGCGTTTTATGTCTTCCACCATTGCTAGATGATCCACATCGATGTAGTTGCCGAGTTTCATAGCCAGGTTTGGGGTAAGGCCTAGTACTGCGGTCGATCCAAAATGCCATAGTATGTCACTGTGTAAGATTAGATCATTGAGACCTCTGATCGTGCTCGAGATTTCGGAAGAGTCGCTAGCGCAAGTTGAGACTGACTGGGCTGTGCGAGTAACATCCATACTCAATGGACGTATGACGACAACATCCGAAGGGATCAAAAATTCCTCTCTTACAGCCGGTGGAGGACCACACAGGGTTTCAGTGCTCTTCGTTGATTCAGCCTTCACAGCCGAGTCCACAAAAAGTTGACGTAGAGGTGGATAGGTTTTGAGCTTGAACTGTATCAACTCCTCCAGATTTGTAGAGGGGTTATTATTTACCCTCACAGTGAACTCGTGTAGAAGAAGCTTGTTGACCTTGGCTGCAGCTTCTGCTGCAGCACCAGACAGCTTCTTTGAAGGGGTACCTCCTACACACGTCTGGCCGACCATGTTGATTGAAGCTTCGATGGATGATTCTGTGAAGCATGAGTGAGGGTCCGGAGCGGGGGATGAGAGGATAGATATACTTGCCACGAGGGGGAATGCTAGTAATGCACCTCACTAACTGGAGTGCCCAAATTCTGTATTTACTGTGAGCACAGGCTAGAGTTGGTCTCGCAGAGGTAGTAGTGACTACCAACACGATCAAATATCAAATGAATGCAGTTGAAAGATGAAGTACATAAGTGTCAGAAGAATGAAATAGGGTACATACGACCACAGGGTGTGGAAAACAGGGCTTCCCGTCCGCTCAGCCGTACTTAAGCCACACGCCGGGAGGTTAGTAGTTGGGTGGGTGACCACCAGCGAATCCCTTCTGTTGTATGTTTTTCTATTTGTTCCATTTCTCTTTTTATCATGGGTAGAGACTTCTTGCCGCTTTGTTTTAACCACCACCTCAGGTTGGCAGTACTCCGAAGAAGGATCCTATCCAAGCCGTGTGACTGTCACTCAATTGGACAGGCATAAGGCGAATGTGACTATTTCCGCCGAGTCCATGCCTGGCCAGAATATCTCCATTTTGCGAGGTACTGACGTTGAAGATTTTCTATTGACTTGCTATACCTGCAATGCTGTTAAGGCTACATAATTCAACTTCCAAGCCCGCTTGAACGCAATTTAGCCAAAGAGACTATCTCAGTGTCTGAAGATGACTAATTGTGTTGAATAGAAATGGTATTCTTGTTATCGTTTCTTTCTCATTTCCTTTTTCTCCTTCTTTCTTTGTTTTGTTGAAAGGATAAAACAAGGGACGGGGAAGAGAAACACATGAACATCCATAAATTTATGGTAATCTTCTCCTACGAACTGGGCGGTGCAAAGTCAACGCAGATCAAACCATATTCACGGAGTTAGCAAATAATTCAAACTCCGTTGAACTCCGAGACTCATCAAGTAGACATATTGCTTTTTATTTCCCCCCACAGTCTCCAAAAGTGATTTTTATGCCACATGTCAGTGGCGCAACCTTCCACGGTCGTCGGCCGATTTCACATGGTCTTGCATCCTTTGACTACATAAATAGCATCCATAAATGTGTATATATTCTGGAAAGATGTTATGGAAAGATACTACCTTTCTATGGTAGATTGGTAGACGGAGGGAAGGCCGGTGGACTTGAGTGGTGAAATGTTCCAGTTGAACAAACTTTGAAACTAGTGAGTCCGGCCCACAAAACATCGCATAAGTGGATACAGCACTCGGCTAGATCGACTAATCAGCCGATGACAGGATTCTAATTGGAAAATGGCCAGCAGATCGATAGTTCATCTTCAGCTCGAGGCGGACACAACAGTGGAGAAGGTGTGCTTCCTTGATAGCTGACAGGCCCGTTGCAGTGTGGTTGAGGATCTTCGCGGAATCAAGTTACTAGCAACACTTCCAGGTTGGGAAGTCAAGCATGCTTGGTCCAGAAGGGCTGTCCAACAAAATGGGTTATTAGAGGCCTTCCATCCTGCATGTGAGTAATTCGTGGTTTGAAACTCATTACATCATTTCAAGATGGAACGACATGATGATACTAGATCTCCTACCCTGGGCAACCCTCCAAGTTTTGAACCCTTCACCTTGAGTCCGTTGGACCATATTGTACCTCCAATCCACCTATTCGCATACCTTACCTTCAAGCCCGACTCGCCCTCAGATGCCATCTTCGTTCTCCAAACTGGCATCTTGCGCCTATTACATGCCCTTCCCTTCCTAAGCGGTAATATAGTGACGGTAGAAGAGCTTAACGGCAAGCAGAACTCGATGCAAATCACACCGGCAGATGTATCAACGTTGCACCAGTCACCCATGCTTAAGGTCGTGCATCATGCTGCTAAAACCTCCGCCACGGAGCGCGATGACGTGCAACATGCCGATTTAGTCCCAATCCCTATCCACCTACCCACCACCGATCCGAGCCCTGTATTGCGATTCCAGGCCAATGTGATGACAGATGGTCTAGTGTTATGCGTGACTTTCGATCATCGGATGATGGATGGACTGGGGGTGCTCGCTATTCTTGACTCTTTGGCTGCGTGCTGTCGAGGCGACTCGGCACTCACATCTATGGCTGCGCAGCTAAAAAAAAAGCAGCAGCTTGCATCGATAAAGAGCCCCAATCCATACAATTTTCAAGATGAAATTCAAGCGGAACCAAAAATTCCATTAAGCCCAATTAGCCGGAAATTTGCCCTGTCCTCAGAAAAGATCAGCATGCTCAAGAAAAAGTGCAACTCTATGTCCTCCACAGCTTCTGGTCAAACATGCAAACCTAATTTGACAAATGTGGATATTCTCACCGCGCTTATCTGGATTTCCGTCGCCAGAGCAAAGCAAGCATCATCATCAACTACACTCACAAACACCCATTCCACATTGTCCTGTGCCGTTGAAATTCGGTCAATTCTTCGGCCCAAGCTTGGCACCTATATAGGAAACGCAGTGATGGCCGCTAAATGCGTACTGTCTACTCAATCCAATTCAGGCAAAACCCTAGACCCCAACACCGACATCCCATTAATCCACGAAGTCGCCTTACAAATCAGAAACGAGATCCGAAGCATCAACACTGAGCAAGCTACCCGCTACGTCTCCCACATCAATACCCTGGACGATTGGAGCTCGTTCCAGGCTCAATGGCCCGACCTAGTTGTGAGCAGTATCCGCAATTTTAATCCGTATGGATTGAACTATGGCTCTCTGTTGGGCCCAATGGCGACCTTCGATATGCCGGATCCGAGAATTAATGGAGTCTGTTGGGTTATGCCTGCTAGGCCGGGCTCGGGTGGAGCTAAGGAAACGCCATTGTGGGAATTGAGAGTTGTGTTAGAGGAACCTGTTATGGAGTGCTTAAAGAGAGAGCCGCTGTTTTGTTGGGCGTCTGATATTAATCGGACGATCAGTGGTTCGAAGCTGTGAGGGTTGGAGTTCAAGTTTTGTATCGATATACACTGCTTGGTTTCATTGGATACTTGACCAGGTGCAAGAGCATCATTATGGATCTACTTACGATGATATGGAAATATACTGCCTTCAACGACAAGCCCTTCGGCACGGTATGGAATCAAACCGGGTAGTCGCGATTGGAGTTCGTTACATGGGCCATGTCGTAATCTGATTGTGTATGGAGAGATCATGCATAGCATTATGTTCCTGAGCCCAAGTCGAGAATTGGAGAAAGCGGAAGGAATGGAGAGGATCCTTCCGGCAGATGTACGGAGCCTTGATAATCATACCCCATGCGGAGTAGTTATCGTGCCCACTAGAGCCCCAAAAGCAAGATCTCTGTGCCTATATAAACCACCCACCTCAGCTTGATCAAGAGGCAGTAGAATTGGATATCTTGGATCCTTCTTATTATCATCCAACCTGTCGCTACAGTTCACTCGCTTACCATGCGGTCTTCCTGGATACATCTGGCGTTTGCTGCCGTGGTGGCAGCTCGGGGTTTCTCCTCTAACTGCACCAACCCGGCGGTACGCATCGAATGGAGCAGTCTGGATTCATCGGAGCAGATAGCGTACCTGGATGCCGAGCGGTGTCTCTGGGACCTTTCAGCGGAAACGCATTTGTCCAATGTCACCAACCGGTACATTGATCTGGTTGCTGTACACCAAAGCCTCACAGACTATTTTCATGGGGATGGGGTCTTCCTCCCCTGGCATAGATACTATGTCCACACCCACGCAACCCTCCTTCGGAAGCATTGCAACTACACTGGCCCGATCCCATACGTGAAAACTACTAGATGTATTGCTTATATTCGTCTTTTACTTGTGGCTGATCGAAGTTTTGTGCAGATGGTGGGACGAGCGAAAAGACTCCGGTGCGTTTAGTAACGCTTCTATGTTCTCGCCATCAACATTCAGCAGCGTCTCCGGTACTCCATACAACGGCATTATTACGGATCAAAAACAGTCTCACTACGTCTGTGTGACAGATGGGGCAAGACTCCCTTTATTTGTCTCTCGCACTGAGAGGCGATACTGGACAAATCTCCCAGACCTCCCAGCTGACAGACGTTTTCCTTGTTCACCTCTAGTATTTCGCAAACACTACTCTGCACATCGGCTTTGGCATGGAGGAAACCAACCACTGTCTTTCCCGGGATGTCAATGAAAACCAGAGTAACACCACAAGTGATCACTATGCGGAGATGTGCAATTCCTATGGAAACTACATTGATATGTTCAAATGCGCCTTCCAGTATCCGCACGGCGGTGTCGGTGGAGTGATGGGCGATGTGTCCGGATCCCCGGGCGATTTCGTCTTTTTCTTGCACCACGGCTTCAATGACCGAAACTGGTGGGCTTGACAGTCTGCCGATCCTGATAACAGGCTCTATCAGCTAAGCGGCTACACCACGGAGTCTGAGCCATCCACCGGCTGGGTTGACGTCACCCTGGATTACAATCTCACTTCGTACGAGGTTATTCCTGACGCGACCATCGAGCAGGTGATGGACACCAAGGGAGGTTATTTGTGTTATACTTATGACTACTAGAGAAGATGGGATTGGGGAGAATGGACCACCGCGAGCGAGGGCTCATTTCTACTGTATGGCTGCCGCGGAGTCGAGCGCTCCGAAGATTGAAGGTATTGAAACGGTTTTATAGAGAGGACAGTACCTATAATAGTAGTATATCTTTACTATCAGAATCTTAGTTGGGTCCAAAACCAGAAATCATCCTGAAACAAAAAGGCATTAAATATATAGGCGACATCCAACAAAGTCAGACGGAAATCTGGCATAAGCAACCCTTCAGTGCTATTCCGCCCGAGATCCCTCGTGGTGACAGCTTCAGGGAACTAAAAGTATATGTTGTGAATCGAAGACTATTATAATCTTCAGAGACTGGTATTGAAGCGTGAAGTAACCCGAGGAAGTCCGTATGAATATGTTAGAGCGAGGAACAGCGAATCTTTTTCTCTTTCCCGTCTCTCTAATATAATCTTGTCACACGGTGAGGGAACTTCCTTGTTGTATTCAAGCAGCTGCCAAGTCTAGACACTGATCCCCGGAGACATCGGCTCGGTGTAGGGCGGTGGAGGATCCGCAGTTTTCATGAAGAGCTCATATCTGAGTTGGCGAAGATCTTGCTGTGCTGTCTCAAACGCCATCCGCGCATCTTCCACTTGGGCCTGCATATCATCTTCACGGGTCTTTGCCTGTCTAACTTGCGCTGCCAGAACCTCTTCTGCACGCTTCACCTCGAGAACAGACTGCTGCATCATGCCCAAAAAGTCGGTGTGAAACAGAAAGGTACCAAAGACCAGCTCACCAACCCAATCGTGCTGAACAATGTTCATAGCCGGCAGTGCCTGTACTCTGGGATCCAATCGTCTGGCCTGCGCGACTAACATCTGCGTTTGAGTAACTTTCTGCTGCGCCCGGGAGAGACAGTCCTGCTGCCGCCAATCGGCCAGGGTGCTGCCAAAACTCCACAGATCCCTTTCACAGTATCGCAGCGTTTCCGCCAAATTCAGCAGCACCTCCCGGAGCGTCAGCTGCGCTCGCGCCAGACACTGCGTCGCCTGCCGAAGATCACTCCATCGTTCGCGCCGCTGTCCATACTCCCGCCGTGCCTGCTTCGTTGTCTCCTCCTGCACATCCTCCTCGGGGAACTCTTCCGTCCGTCCCTCAAATATCCGCTTGTAGATGGCATCCAGTTCGGCATGCAACCGTTCCCTTGTGGTGCATGCATGCCGGAGTTCCTCCTCTTGAGCGACCGCGTCCGCGACCTGCGCCTCCAGCATCTCCCGCTGTGCCTGCGCACGGTTCTCCTTGGCCAGGGCATCGTAGTAATCCCGCATCTCCTGGTCGGCTTTGGCCTCAAATTCCTCCCTCTTGCCCCTCGCCCGATAGAACAGGCGGCGTACTGTGCTGTCGCGGTACTTTTCGTGCAGCTCACGGTTCCCTTTGGTGATCTTGTGTAGTTGCGACAACTGTCTGTTGGTATTGGTCAGCTCGTTCCGGAGCTCGGCCAGGTAGCTTTCTTGCGACTGGAGAGACTCTGGGCTGCTCTCTACACCAGCGAGTTCGGCTTGAATCTGGTCATGGCGCTCCTTGCTGGTTGCAATGTGGCTGTATATTGACATGTTTGGACGAAGTGATTGGTGGGGGGATATTGCTATGTTACGGATCTAAGTGCTTCGCGGGTTAATCTGCCTCGCTGTGTATGATGTTGCTATTGCCAGTTTTATTAATAACTGATCTGAAAAAAATAATTTGATGTTGAAAAGTGAATTTGGGGAGCCACTGCTCGTTAGATGATCTCCTTCTAAACAAAGAATTCGCCACGCGGGATGACGGCATAATGTAGTCATCCCGTGACCTCTGTTCTGCCCTTGGAAGACCACTCTTCTTCTTCTGCTTCTTATTATGGTTCTAGAGCCGTAGGTAGTTTATGTAGGATGGACTTAGTATGAAATGACTGATTAATCAACCATGCTTTTCATGCGTATTTCTGGCTGCGATATCTTCCTGGTCAAGAGCCAATCTAGGTCGTTCATAGATCCCGTCAATGGGAAGGGCTACCCTGTCACTGCAGCAATTTACAATTGAATTTGTCTCTGACTCTCTTTCACGGTGCTTCAGCAGTCGGGCGTTGGAGACATGAGCCCAACATGTACCCGAGCCGCGTTGAACGTGCATAATTTAGCGCCCGTCATGTCGTGCGGCTGTTCCTGCGGGGTAAGGGATCTGACATTCTCTCCGCAAAATGTATTTCACGAACTGCATCTGCATTTCACAGTGTTGACCAGTTGGTAAATTCATGTATAAGTAACAGCGTACAAGAAGACGTTTCAACTAAACTCTCCTGAACGCTATGTCTAGCCCGCGAATATCGCCGTACGCCAACGAGGAGTACACCGTGGGCTGGATATGTGCCCTTCCTATTGAGCTAGCTGCAGCAAGGGGGATGCTTGATGGGGAAGACCATGGAGAGCCCCAGACCTCACCCGCAGGAGCAGATCAGAACCGCTACACGCTGGGGACTATCGGTCATTTTCGAGTGGTAATCGCTTGCCTGCCAAAGAACCAGCTTGGCTCGTCTTCCGCAACCGCTTCGGTGAAGGACATGCTATTTACCTTCCCTAATGTTCGCATAGGTCTCTGTGTGGGTATCGGTGCCGGCATTCCTGATTATGAGAGCCAGGATGAACAGGACATTCGTCTCGGAGATGTTGTTATCAGTAGTGACTCTCAGACTGGGGGTGTCGTGGCCTATGCTCTGGGCAAGAAATTGGCCGATGGTTCGTTCGAGACTCGGTCTGCTTTGACTCCGCCCCCTCGATCGCTAGGTACGGCTCTTGGGGCAATGCAAGCACAACACATGATGGCAGAGAATAAAATAGAGTTCTACATCGAACAAATGCTCGAGAAGCATCCATTTATGCGCAAGAAGGGATATTCGCGTCCGGACCAATCACTGGACCGTCTGTTTAGATCGGAGTACATTCATGCCGCGGGGAACAACTGTTCGAAATGCGATAATTTGGAGGCCGTGGAGCGGGAGGACCGATTCGATGATGCTCCAGTTATCCATTATGGAACAATTGCCTCAGGTGACATTGTCGTCAAGAATGCTGCATTGCGTGATGAGATCCGAGACAAGCACGGGGCTATCTGTCTTGAGATGGAGGCTGCGGGATTGATGAACAATTTTCCTTGTGTCGTAATCAGAGGAATCTCGGACTACGCTGATTCGCATAAGAACGACCGCTGGCAGCCATATGCAGCTGCGGTGGCTGCCGCGTGCGCAAAGGAGTATTTGGAACATGTGCAGGCGAAGGATGTGAGCGGAGAACCTACAGCGAAAGCTATGCTTGAGAAGGTGCAAGAAGGTGAGTAATCCCATACAACAATCCCAGATACATCAGAGCGTTTGCTGATATCTACGATAGTCCATACCGAAGTCACGAAGGTCGGAAAGTTTGTGACAACTAGGGAAACCAGGGAGGTCCTCGATTGGGTCAGCTCAATAGACTTTGTGGACCAGCAGAACGATATTATCAGTCTGAAACAAGAAGGGACTGGCCAATGGCTTATACATTCAGAAGAATACATTCGGTGGTTGAGCGATGATACCCAATCGCGAACTCTCTTCTGTCCTGGGATCCCAGGTGCAGGCAAGACAATAATGGCATCCAACGTGGTAGAGCATTTAAAGAACACATTCAAGGGCAATTCAGATGTGAAGGTTGCGTTTCAGTTCTGCAGCTACCAGCCGAAACATCGGCAGACTTACCTGGAGCTCCTGCAAAGTCTCCTTCGACAACTTGCACTGAAGACCCCAGATGCAGACCTGCTTCCATGTATTTTGGAGCTTCATGAGGGTTACAGCTCGAATGGTACCCGACCTCGACCTGCTGAGTTGGAGAAAACTATCTTGGAAGCCATTCAGTCTTACTCCGTCGTGTTCCTGGTTGTCGATGCCCTGGATGAGTTCTATTCTGCAAGCCGGGAAGACTCATTGTTGTTCTTTGATGCTCTGTGCAAATGTCGAAAAAGTCACCAAGTAAAGCTGTTTGTGACATCTCGCTATAACGATGACATCTCTTCTCGTTTTGCTCCTTTCACTTGCAAAGAAATCCGGGCACACGACGATGATGTCCTACAATATGTGAAAGGGCGCATGCCCCAGCTCCGCATTCCCAAGACAATCCAAAACGCCGAACTTCGGAATGAAATTCAATCGGATGTTGTGAGGGCTGCAGATGGAGTGTAAGGCTATCATCTAACCCTTCTTGACCTAGCACTCACGTCCTTTAGTTTTCTACTTGCTAAACTGCACATGAATCATCTGATGGGCTTTCTTACCCTCCGACAAATCAAAAACGCCCTTGTCCAACTACCTCGAGGGACAACCGGCCTTGAGCTAGCATATGATCAGGCGATGCTCCGGATTACATCCCAGGGCGACTCCAATCAAGAGGGACCTGACGACGATGATTCTCAGTCAAAAGTGGCGTTGAAGGCTCTGTCTTGGCTCACGTTCAGTAAGACGGCTCTCACGGCAGACCAGCTCGCACACGCGATTGGCACCAAGCCAGGCATGAAGAATCCCGACCAGGAAAATCTCATGGATCCGAGCACTATCGACAGTTTATGTGCCGGGCTGGTCGCATTTGATCGGAACACAGGTATAATCCGTTTGGTACATCACACCACAAAGGTATATCTGCTAAGGAGTAGCCATCTTCAGGATGGTGAAGTCGAGATCGCAAAGATCACACTCACCTATCTCAGCTTTGGCTCTTTCTCAACAGGCCGTTGCAGCCATGATTCAAGCTTTGTCCAGAGGGAAGAGCAACATCCTCTCTTTACTTACTGTGCCTCGTATTGGGGAACACATGTCTCGCCGCTGCTTCAAAGGTCATCTGATTTACTGACACTCGCATTACAGTTTCTGGAGTTGGACACCAATGTTCGGGCGTCTGGCCAGGCCCTGATACTTGGTGTTTACAATTACTTCAGACGGTCCCTGTTGGGTGATACACCAATACCGTGGAGTCACTCTTTCCTAATGACAAAAGTCCACCTTGCTTGCTACTTCAATCTTCACCCGGTCATTACTCATTACATCAGCCAGGGTTTAGAGCTCAACATTGTGGATTCTACGGGAAAGGTACCTATTATGTGGGCCATTGAGCAGGGTCATGTTGAAACAACACAGACGCTCCTCGAGTCTGGTCGGGTCAATATAGGTTTCAAGGACCAAGAAGGGAAGTCTCTTCTGATACATGCGACTATCGCCCAGCATGTCCAATTGGCTGAACTCCTCATTATGCACGGTGCTTCCTGTGATGCCCGGGACAACAAGGGCCGTTCGGCTTTAGCCTATGCAGCTACTACCGGGCAGATTGCAATGATTCAACTTCTGACCTCCCAAAATGTCCAGCTTGACTACACTCATGACGCGAAAGCGGTGAAACGTCCGTGTGATGTCGACATGTTCACTTCTCTCTTCGAAGTTGCAGATGCCTTAGAAGAGGACGGTCCGGCCTTTCTTCTAGACGAAGTTGTTGATCCTGTGGGCACCCCCCTCATAAATTCCATCTCTACTGGCCATAGGGAGGCGGCGATTCTCCTCCTTGAGAGTGGGGCCGACCCAAATTATGCCAATTCAGAAGGCGACACACCACTGTCAGCGGCAGTGGCTAGAAGGAATGAAGATTTGGTCAAGATACTACTTGATAGCGGGGCCACACTTGAGAACTCTCCTTCAACTCTCTACTATGCTATTGAAAGTGGAGATGTGGGTATAGTACGCAGCTTTCTCGAAGCAGGTGCTGATCCAAATTGCGAATACTCCCCGACTTCGCTACAAAGATCCAATCCCTGGATTACGTCAATGGAGCCTGTAACTGGTGAAGAGCTATCAACTTTGTTCATGAATCTGGGCCAGTCTCTTGTGACCGGCGTTAATGAGTCAAATTTGCCGATCCTTACCGAATCTGGCCTTTCTCGTGCAGCGCGATTAGGTCATGCGGAAGTGCTGCTTGAGTTGCTTAAGCATGGCGCGGACCCTAACCAACAGAATGGGAAAAAAGAGACACCTCTGTTTCTCGCATCCAAGAACGGACATATAGAGGTTGTGCGGGTGCTTCTGGAAAATGGAGCAAATCCATATATCCAGAACAATTACCTTCAGACTGCCCTCTTTCCTGCATCAAGATGGGCAAAACCATTGATCGTGGCTACTCTACTGGATGCCGGTCTCTCAGCCAACACACCAGATATTTCTGGGAGCACACCACTGTTTTATGCGGTTGAAAGCGGGTCGGTAGAGATCGTGGAGCTTCTAATATCAAAAGGAGCCGATGTTAGGCAAATTAACGCCATGTTTGAAACAGCGCTGTTCGGCGCAACTAAGTATGCCAATCCGGAAATATGCCAATTATTACTAGCAGAGGGTGCAGACCTGGGGCAGATGAACCTTCTTCAATGCACTGCTCTATTCAACATAGCCAACGACATTTGCATTTCCAAAGGGGCCGCTCCCCAACACTTCTATTCCGGGAGTCGTGACTTTGACGCTTCTGTAAAAGCCGCAATCATTCTGGTTGAAAACGGGGCTAATCCTTGTCCGCAAGCTTTCGACCCAGAACTGGAAGAAGTTCATGGAGGACTGCAGGGGTATATAGCCCACTTCAGCCAACCTATACACCCCGCCGAGAAATCCCCAGAGTACGTCTTCTTCGCACGCGAGCTATGGGGTGACTTGCTGAAGCCCTTAACCGACGATGATGTTTATACGTTTCTGGAGCTTCTTTGCATGGGACGAAATGGAACAGTTGGGGCTTGTGCAAAAGGTCCACTGTTTTGGGTCTCAGTGACAGGATCTTCCGAGTTGGTCTCAAAGGTCCTTCAAATGGACGTGGATTTCAAGGCCAAGGACTCGGGCCTTCTCCAAGGAGCAGTAGAATCTGGAAATGCCGAGGTCACTGAAATGGTCTTGAATGCCCTGGAAGAGGAGACAATTTCTGCACAATCAACGGCCTCGCTTTTTGAAGCCTCAGTGGTGTCTGGCAATCTCGATGTGGTCAAGGCACTATTCAGTCAGCTTTCCCGAAACCCAGATACTGGGAGAGCTTTGTTTGCAGCCGTTTGGACTGGTAGTACTGAGCTGGTTGACTTCTTCCTTACCAACGTAGATGATCCGATTCTAGTTGACGAAAAGAATTCGAATCTCCTTCACCACGCCGTCGTTGCGAAGTCGTTGGCTATGCTTCAATTCTTGTTGGACAAGGAGCCCCTTCAGCAGTTTGATATTAATTCCAAAAACCATTATGGATTTTCCCCTCTTCTTTATGTGACTCAGATGCGTCACAACAACACAGAATTTGCAAGGCTCTTGCTGCAGAGGGGCGCTGACCCCAACACTACGGAAAGTCCTGGAATTGACACTCAAGAGTTGATGTCTGATTCTGAAGTACAGACCCAGTCGGAACGTTCCAAAGAGGTTTTGTGCCCGAACGATCTCAGCGCCCGGGAGAAATGGGATCACTGGGTTCTTTTGGCCTTTGCGGCGCACAATGGAGCAGATGACTTGGTTGAACTGTTGCTTGAATACAATGCAGACCCAGATCCCATCAACCAGTACGGCGTCAGGCCAATATGCTTGGCTGCTCTCGATGGACATGAGGCAGTTGTAAGAATGCTTCTTGATAAGAAGGTTGATCCGAACCAGGTTGAAGGCTCGAGTAAAGCACCCTTATCATGGGCACTTGAGCGACATTTGGATGCTTATAGATACGATTCATCAAGAACAAGCGACTGGCCAGGCTGTCAAGCGGTGGAGACGACAGTCAGTCTTCTGCTCGAGCGCGGTGCAGACCCCAATCCAAGTGACGGGTCGTCCCCAATATTGGCTGCCCTCAGGCTGTATTCGGAAGACCTGGTTTTGCTACTACTGAAAGCTGGAAGCAGTCCGCATGTTCGTGACATGTATGATCGCACGCCGCTAATAATTGCAACCGCTCTTGGAATGGCACGAGTTGTCGCAGCTTTGCTGGAACTACCAGATGAATGGACGGACCCAGCAATGACGGATATCTATGGCCGGTCAGCAATAACAGAAGCCACAAAGAGGAACAAAGTCGACATTCTGAAGCTACTGACCCGAGAGTCAAAAGCGGATTCAGTGGCATCGATAAATACATCTGATTATGAGCAAATCAAAGTTCCAGAGAGAGATGATGACACATGTAAGGTTTGCATGGTTCTCATGTCGGATAGCTTCAGTGATCATTACTCTTGCGAGCAATGCCCTTCGTTCGGAATATGCAAAGAATGCAAAGACTGGGGTGTCACATGTTTGAAACCGGGGCATGGAATGGAAGAGTCGAGCTCTGATTGGATTGGAGTGGCTCTCTAGTCCATCTTTTCAATCTTGGAAGTCTTAAGAGGGTCAAGATAGAGACTCCAGATTGTGATACGGTTGTGGTTTCTGTTAGCTTTCAGAAATTTGTTAGTAACTGCACAGCTGTAATCGAGGTAGCGCTAGTTTGATAAATGTTCAGTATGTCTTTCAACGATAGTGAAATGCTAATCACGGCTAGTTCTGTTCCTATTCATTTCTCAAAAATCTTCCTGGGTTGGATGCTCTTATAGCGTTCCTGGTCTGCTTGCTTAAGACTGAAGTTTTCATCCTGTTCAGTTTGAGACTGCTTTCCTTTATACCGCACGTACCATCGCAAACGAAATCCCTTAGCATCCAATTTGTCGTGAGTTCCCTCGCGGTCGCTTCTCGACCAAACCAACCACCTGGTGCCAGTTTCCTCTCCTATCTGATGCCACATGTGTGCAAAGCTGGCTGAGTTATGTAGGAAGATAGAGTAGTCGAGATTTGGCACCTTCCAGAGTCCAGCGTCCTCCCTCCCGAACTGGACACCGGTGATCAAGTCATCTTCTTGCAGAGAGAGATAGCTGACCATGCATTTAGCAACGCTAACTTGTCCTTTCCAATCCCATAAATGCAGGAAGTAACCAAAATTTATGACATGTATGTGGCCAGCTAATTGGGCAAGTTTTGCACTAGGATTCAAGAAGTCTTCAATAAGGAATATCAAGTTTAAGGTAACCCTATCCCGAAATAGATCAAAACCGAGCTCTATAAATTGCTCGTCTTTGTCTAAGCCGACAATATTCTCGGCTGGGGCGCCATCATACACCAACCGACGAATTTCTTGACCGAGGCCGCACCCCAGGTCTAGCATGAATGAGGACGCTTTGAGATTGGATATGATTTCGCCATAGACTGGGGATCTAGACAGATCAAAATCCACAAACGATAGCATACCAAAGCACGGATATCGCACTCTGTCCCATCCCGCATTTGCCTAGCAATCGATTAGCTTTTCAATCTAGATAGCAGCACGCAAGAATCCCTTCGTACTATGTGCTTGACGTGCGACTCCAAATCATCCGATTTTACGTCTCTAATGTAGCTGCAGAGGAAAGCTTTCGTCTCCCTAGGCAGGTCTTCCCAAGCAAGGCGCAACAAATCCCAATTCAGGAATTCTGTAACCTGATGGGACATCCTATTTTATCGTAAATGGCCTCCTATGGGGAAAAACCTTCTTTCAAGACAATTTAGGGTTGAACTGACGTTGCGCGTTTCAGTAGTGTGGCTTGGTTGATTTATGATCCCTAGGAGTCCGGAGGGGTTGGGAAATAATTCGATCCTGAATGTGTCCCAATACGACATTTGTAATGATACTTAGGTAGGACAAAATAAGTAAAACATTAAGTGACACAAGAAATGTGATGACGACTGAGGTTTCTATCACAGTGCGCAAGTGTTCTACTAGAACGGTCAGCTGCATTAATGGGAAGCGGGATGGCAACTTAATGTTGTCTGCGGGGTGTCCACCCCATAATGTGATTTGTCAATACTAAGATAGTTAAATAACTTTACATCAGCATGGCGTAATGGAGCAGCCCCTCCGGGGGTAGAAGGTGGCATAGATGCTGCGGTCGGGTTCATAGTGGGTAAAAGATGAACACAACTAACTCCCATAGACGGATCAGCCTCATAGTTTGTCTCACTTTATTCTCCTTAAGAGAGAGGAGGTGAAGCAGCAGAAGAGCGGCAGTGGTGGCATATGGGTAGTTCTTGAATCAATTGTAACTGGTCGTTCTTATAGTTAGATAATAGTCTAACAGACTGGTCTGCAAGTGTGATGAGATGGGGTGATTTCGTGGTTAACGCCCCAAACCGCGGGAGAGTGGCGGGTGTGACACCAATTATCTTCATCCCTCTTGTGTCGATTTGGGTGATAATAAAGCTGTAGTCAAAGTACTACTTTTTTACAATATACATTATAAAAAGCAGATACTGAGGGGTAGCTTGAGGAACACATGGAGATGCAGGACGCCTGGATGGTATGACGTTTATTTTGAGACAATCTTTCGCTGCAGGAATCTGGCTGCCTCCCTTCTGGGTGTCCGGCATGCACTGATTTATTGAAATTGAAGACATGAGACATGCACATTATATCACTAGCGCACACTGCCTGGCCGAATCAACACAAAGTTTTCGTTAAATTGACTTGACGTGAAAAGGGAGAGCCCAACGCAACTACGTCTACTCGCACCAAACGAGATAGGGCCTGAGCTAAACTTGATGAAGTTTCAGCCAAAGCAGTCGACATGAACCCAATGAAAACTCGAGGGATGGGTGTAGAATGCCCCTTTCTTTCTGGAATCAATGTCCTTCACATTCTGTGTTACGACACCTATGACTGTGTTGTTCTATTCTATTGCCTATCAGGACTTCGATACGTCACATTCAGCCCCGGCCATATCCGCATACTCTCTTGGTTTTTGAAGAGATCACCTCGCCCGAAATTTGAGTATACCGGAGGGCATGCAGCGTGGTTAACTTTCCAGGCTCTGCTGTGTATCGCACTTCCGGGACCAACTGCCTTCGGACCGACAACACCTAGTGGTCGACGATTGAGATACAAGCTGAATGGCTTAGCAGCGTGGATAGTCACTGTTTCTCTTGCAGTGAGTGGCTCATTTCTGGGATACTAAGTCTTACCGCATTGGCCAAAGCATGGGGAGAGCTGGTGGCAGTTACAATACAGAAGCCATTTTGGTTAGAGGGATGAGTATTGTCGCCGCGTCTCCTGGAGAATCGTTCCTGGCGTGTTTTGATTCCATGGAACAAACATACTATTTTCTTATGGTCGGATTGTAACACGACTTTTGCTTTGACTATGCTGATATTTCACCTACATTGGATAAATTGGAATATGAGAAATTGGGATCCGTTATACCGCTCTCTAAGGCTAGCAGATGCGATCGCATACGATTTATTTTGCTGCAGCGCTACAGGTGGTACGTCTCCATCTGCACACCATACTGACACTGTGCTTGGTATGTAAAATATGTACAACCTGGTCTCTACGGCGACCGCATTACTCTTTTGAGAATAGGAATCCGACGTCGGTTTGGACATTAGACTGCCAAAGACTATGAATTTTCTAAAGCGGTCTAGACTCGTGGGTTCTCATAACGTCTTCGTCAATATTCTAAGCAATAAAGCTGTTGGTAACATGCATCTACTCGTGCAAGCTTTTGTCAGCTCAGTAGATGCGTCACATCTGCTGTTGGGTCAGATTCACGATCCCGAAACTGCAAGTATCCGCCATGATATTCCCAACTCCTTGGGTGATAATAAATGCTAGTCATGTAAGATACTGAGTAGGTCATAGAGGTGAGCCAGTAATGAGTATGCAGATAGTGAGATGTTTGATCTACTTACAGTAGTTCTCGTATAATTTCTCATTGGCGCACAGCAGGCCCGTCCACCCCTAACTTGCCCGGAATGAGTGTGACCCGGTATGTCGCGTCCGCTAGTTCCAGCATCAACCCTGAGTACTCCGTAGAGTCTTCGATATTGACATCACGCTATATACTGTGCCATGAAAGTCCATTTGGCCTCATTTCTAGTTAACGCTCCATGTTGCATGTGTAGCTGTAATCGGAGATACGTGACTAAACCATGAAATGATTTGGGGCTATAGGCTATTCCCCGCCTACTCTGTGTTCCTGTCTGTTGTTCAGGGCAATACTACATCCTGCAATTGTCTGTCCCTTATACGCTTAAATGGTCTTGGACTATAGCTGGCGCCCAAAGCCTCATTATGGTCTTGCCTGACAATGGCTTACAGCCCCATAACTATTACATCAGAGTCATTTTAATTAATCAGACTTTACTAGCAACGCACGAATGCTTAGATACTTTTACGTTCACTATGCTTGATGTACATGTAGGCAGGCAATATCTGCGGTAGACTGTCCTATCCTTGTCAATATTTATAATATATACGACATAGTTCCATATCTTAGACTTGCATGGAGCTTGTGTAACCTGGACGAGAGTCTACAAGGGGAATACAGAAAGGAACTGGGAGAGCTTCCATCATTCAGCTAGGCGTTAAATTCTATTCCACCCCAACAGGTCGTACAATCACACACTAGCTATATAAGACTGCGTGATACCCCTCAACCTAGCATACATTGTCACCTGTCTGGTTCAACGTCTTCCGAAAACCACATTCCAACACAATGGATTTCGTTCTAGCCTATCTCGATCAGTCTTGCTTCGACAGGTTATACGATTCTAGCCGTGATATGCTCACGCAGTCCATTTGCCTACAAGAAAGCTCAATCGGGATTTGTGCTACCTTAACAGACCCCAGCACCTGGCGCCGAGAGAGCCCGCATCGCCAGGCGCTGAGTATATTTCTAGTCTTATGGTTGGTTGTACCACCGGCGATATAACCAATACGGCCAGGGCTGATACACATCATCCACAGGCTATCCAGCTCGCTGTTTCTTCTGATGTTCGGTAGCCTATGCTATCTATGTAACTTTGACAAATCTTTGAAGAGGCACCCACGATACTATAGGAACCAAATCTGGAAAAAGGCTCGGCAGTCTTTGGCAACAATCTTTTTGTCCGGTGCTCTCACTGTGCCGGTACTCCTTGCCCAAGTACGTGGCTATGCAAAGCTCTATGACATCGGTGATGGCACGGTTAGTACGATTTATGAGCTTGCCCAAATCCCACTATTCTTCTTCTTCAACGATACATGCATGTACTGGCTTCATCGAGCATTTCATCAACCGTTCCTGTTCAACGCAATGCACAAGAAGCATCATCTGTAAGCACTGAATGAGGATCTCCCTTGTGCGTACTACTGATAAAGTTACAATTGCAGTTTTATTATTCCGACGCCCTTTTCTGCCTATGCTTTCGATCCACTGGAAGCTTGGATTATAAGCCTTCTCACCTATGCATACAGCTTTCTCTGGCCTATGTCGCGCCATGTTCAACTGTTCATTTTTGTTTGCGCTAACGTGTGGAGTTTCCTTTATCGTATGTCTCAGCTCTCTTCTCACTGCTTCCTTGGTTAAAATATACCCCAGACGACAGTCGCGAGCAGTTTCATACAGTACACCATAGGAATACTCAACGTAACTTTGGCCAGTATCTTAGCACCTGGGACCAAATTGCAGGCACATACGGCGATCATAAGCGGTATCGCAGGGGTGGAGCGAATGCGAGGCTCTCTTCAAAATAGGGCGTTCTTAACACAGCAGTATTCGTCTCCATATCTCGTCCTTGTCAGGAGGTCCATGGTGTCTATCTCCTATATAAAAATAGCTGCAGACAAATAACCGGGAAACAGACATCCCACTACTGAATATCGCACCGGAGTATATATATGCTCTTACTCCTACTAGTCATTTCGGCGGTGTGGTATCGGTATCGTCACAGAATGCAGGGCGCTCAGGACCTTTGTCTCCTGCTATCCGACTAAGTTTTATCTAGGGGCTAGCTGGGAATGCACAATGAAACGAAGAAAAACAATGAGATACTCCAAGATATGATAATGATACTTTGTCCAACTCGAGTCATCGAACTGCATTTCTCTGACATTCTAATAAACGTGTCTCTTTAGATGAGGATAGTTTGCTCCTCCCCACATGGTATCGCAACGTGATGGATGTAACGTCCTTATCCGCGAAAGCCTTTTCAGTGCCAGGGATCGTCTTTCGTTACTGGGGATTGGACTTAGCAATGTTGGTGAGTCTAGCGTCGCTTCTTATGAGGCTACCCAATCAATTGGCCTCCAGAGTAAGAGGAATTTTGCATTGTCCCTCATTCTTCTCCGTCAGCTGCCGAACATTCCATTTGACGAGAGAACACATTCTTGAAACTTGGCCCTAGGGTTGTTCTGACTAACTCCTCACATGCTAGCTCCTGCACTCTTGTTCTACTCCGTCGAAGTTTATCGAGCTATGTCTGACATGGGAGTTTCATATACGTAGTCTCTAAGGCCATGAGACTGCAATGGCAGGCCCTCTAGCTTCATGGCCACCTCCGACCATGGCGCGCTCGGAAGGCCGCACCATGGCCTGGTCAACATCCAAGCACATGAAGTATCTGTTCAGGTCAAATTGCCTTTTGGGCAGAGAATCATTCAAACTTTACACAAATTGAGAGACAAAGAAATCCGCAACACCAGACGCACAGTTCTGCACTCAGTAACGGCACACATACCCGGAGGGAAATTGACAGCGATTTTGGGAGGAAGTGGATCGGGGAAAACAACCTTGCTAAATGCGCTGTCGGGAAGATTGCAAAGTGAAAGCCAGACAGTACTGGGAGACATCACGTATAGCGGACACAATGACGTGTCTCGATTTCGCACAGCCTATGTGATACAGGAGGATGTTCTCCCAGCCACCCTGACAGTCCGCGAAACCTTGCAGTATGCGGCTGACCTCCGTTCGAAATGGAAAAGCGCGTGCCAGCGGGATCAAGCGGTCGATAAATTGATTAGAAGGCTAGGACTAGAGACCTGCACCGACACCCGGATAGGGCATGGGAGCGGGCATGGATGTAGTGGCGGCGAGAGGCGGCGGGTCAGCATCGCCATTCAACTGCTGACGGGGGCCTCGGTGCTGTTCTGCGACGAGCCGACAAAAGGTATGTAGCTATTCCATATTTCATAATCTTTGAGACTCGTACTGATCACCTTTCCTCCCAGGACTCGATGCTACAACCGCTTGGCAAGTCATGCAGACACTAAAGCACCTAGCTGCTGGTGGTATGACAGTGATAATATCCGTACATGCTCCGAAGTCAAGTATCTGGGACATGTTTGATCACATCATCCTTCTCGCTTGGGGACATGTGCTATATGATGGACCAAAGGAGGCAGTGCCTGATTACCTCGACCGTTCCGGGTTCAAATTGCCCGCATTCGTCAACCCAGCCGAATTTCTCATAGAGAATATCACCACGAATACATGGTTACACAGCACACTAGATCTGCCTCTCCACCACTTGGCGCCATTTGAAGGCTCTTCAACAGATGCACTCGAAATGGTCACACTTCCGGCACAGCTTCTGGAATCTCCAGCACCATATGGCAAAACACCGGGATTCTGGACGAAGTGGAAAGTCCTGACAAAGCGCATGATGGTAGTGTGTATAAGAGACATACCGCCGCTCATTGGAATTGGTTGTATGATTGCTGTGCTCGCTGCCATCCTTGGATGGGTATTTTGGCACTTGGATGGATCCCTTGCAGGAATTCGTTCCCGACAAGGAAGCCTCTGGGATGCTACGGGGCTTTATGGGTACCTTATGTTGATCAGCGAGATCTGTCGATTGCTTGAAGATACCAAAGTTTTTGATCACGAACGAAGTGAAAAGCTTGTTGGTCCTGCACTTTTTACTCTCAGTCGACGAGCAGTGAAGTTGATACTGGAAGACCTCAGCTTGCCCACGTTGTTTCCTGCCATATATTATCCCATGGTGGGCTACCGGGACAGTGCTTCGCAAATCTTACTGTTCTGGTTGATAATGGTTGTGACACATATAACTGCCGTTGGATTTGCAAGCGTTTCTGTCGCCACGACCCGGAACCTTTACGGGGCCATATTCATAGGGAATATGTACTTCACGTTACAGACAACTGCCTCGGGGTACTTTTTGCAGGCTAATCAAAGGCCGGTGTATGTGCAATGGCTGAAATGGCTCACAACAACTTTCTATACCTTCAGCGCCCTCTGCACCCTTGAGTCTGTTGGGTACAAAGGCTCCAGTCCTGGGTATCTCTACGACTGCCCCTCTCATGATGCCCAAGATCCGCAATGCAAGGTGTACACTGGTGCTTTTATAATGGACAGCTTAGGACTTCCGAGTGGTGGGATTTGGAAGCATATTCTAATCTTATGCGTGTTTGCTATTTTCTATCAGTGCTCTGCAATTGCGATCCTTTTTTCTAAACCTACTGGGCGGCCTTGGTATTTGGCAGACGCAGGAAATGAGGGAAGCGAAGCATATCTCCACGAGAAGCCATCCGCCCCTCATCCAACTCAATCTCGCCAAAGCAGTATACAATTAAATGAGCTAGAGCTCTACAAGACACGGTTGCTGAGATGGGCTTGGTTTGGGCGAAGATCGTCTCGAGTCGTTGGTCCAGTGTCGACCACTTTACGCTCTGGACGGTTGAATGTAATCATGGGGGCTTCAGGAAGCGGCAAGACGACTTTACTGAGTGCCCTAGCTGGCCGACTACCCTCATCTTTGCAGTCATCATGAGAGTCCCGCGGCTTTATCACGCTGAATGGCTCTCCCATAAATAGTCAACGACTCCGTGTGTTAGTATCATATGTCCCACAGGATGACTGCAATCTTCTTTCCAATCTGACTGTGCAAGAAACATTGTACTTTGCCACTGAATTGAGATGTTCTGGGTCCGTGTCCTCAGACGAGCGGAAAGGGCGGGTGGAGGATACGATCAGGCAATTTGGGTTGGAATTCTGTGCAAATCCCATTGTCGGATCGACCTTAACAAAGGAATAAGTGGTGGCGAGAAGCGACGCCTGTCAATTGCCTGCGAAGCTGTAGCGGAACCCAGAGTTCTGGTTCTTGACGAGCCAACCTCCGGCCTAGATTCCCGCACTGCTCTCTCCGTTCTTGAGCTGCTTCATAAACTATCATCCGATGGATGTACCGTCATCATCTCCATTCACCAACCATCCTCCGCCATGTGGGCACTGATTTCGACCTGTCTTCTTCTCACCCCGGACGGCCGTCCTGTGTACGCAGCTGAGGCAGGCCAGATGCTTTCCTACTTTGACCGTCTCGGACACACCTGTCCACATACCATGAGCCCGCCTGATTACTTCATGGATATAGCAGCTAGCTCTCCTGCCCAGGAAATAGAGCGCCTAGTGGATAATTGGACACAATCGCAATCCTCAGCTATATCGACAGCTTTAGAAACTCCTAGCCTCTCCCATTCTGACCTCCCTGGACCCCAATCCACATGCTCCCGCTTTATCCCGACCACGCACGTGCTCCTCCACCGAGCCTATCTCAACATGCTCCGCAACCCCCTATCTATGTTCGTGCGACTTGTCCAATGCCCTGGGATGGGACTTATCTGGACCATATTCGTGGCCCCCCTGCACAAGGACTACAATTCGATCCAGACACGCATGGGTCTCATGATACAGTATGGCCCGGTGGCCTTCATCGGCATGCTTCAAAACATTGCGACTTTCCCAGCCGAGCGAGATCTCTTCAGGCATGAATCCTCCATGCACTTGTATGGCGCTACAGCCTTCCTCGTCCAATACACAGCGATGGAGCTTCCATTCGAAATAATTGCAGCCGGGATATTCAGCCTTCTCTTCGCCTACGCCGCACAGCTGGGTCCCACGGCGACGCAATTCGGCGTCTGCTTCTTGAGTGCAGTATGTGCGCTTAACACGGGCGAATCATTGAGTATGCTTGCGTGTCTCGCTTTTGGACGGAAAATCAGTCTCGCTGTAAACTGCACGTCGGCGCTGTTATCTATATTTACGATGCTTGGAGGTACGATGAGTCTGAGTCCTCCGCGTGTGTTGCAGTGGTTTAATCATGTATCACCTATCAAGTATGCTATTGACAATTTGGCGTACTACTGTCTGGGTGGTTTGGAGTTGCAGTGCACGGATGGCCAGCGTCGCGCGGATGGTTCGTGTCCTCTTCAAACCGGGGAACAGGCTTTGGAGCTTTATGGGTTGAATACAGACCGTCCGGAGATAGGACTGGTTGCGGGCGTAGTGTTGATGGTGGGATATCGGCTGTTGGTGTGGGCTGTGTTGATGCTGCAGGTTAGGTGTCGGAATGGGTTCGGTTTCCGGAGGTGGGTAAATGTCAGGGAGAGGCGTGAGAGCTAGGGGTACTTATCTGTGAGGATTGTGCGATGATATGACGTTAGGTTACGTATTTGGTATTGACAATGTGTGCTTGGGAGGTGGATTGAAGTTCTTGTCGTAATCCAAACCCTTGTATAAAGTGGTTTGAATATATTAGGGGTACCCCTTTCCATCTCCGACACTGCTAGAGGCTGCAAAGGCAATATCGGCAGATTCCCATAGTAAGAAACTAGAGAGCCTGACTCTCGTCCATATCACTCCCGCTTTCCCGGTTGAAGAAAGCAATGCAAGGGCAAACAGACTCTATGCACCAGCACTTTGAAGAAGTTTGACCACAACCTGGTGATCACTCTCTGCTGCCCAATCCAGGGGGGTGCGTCCAGTCACATCCTTGGCGTTCACATCTGCTTTTCCTGTAGCAATGAGAAGCCTTATTACAGCCTCTTTGCCAGTCTCCGCTGCCAAAGACAGGGGCGTACGATCCTCCGAGTCTCTGCAGTTGACGACCACCCCTTCAGTGGCAAGAAGGAGTTTCACCACCGTGTCATGACCTTCCCATGCCGCCCAAGACAAAGGAGTACGGCCCTTCATGCATCTTGAGTCAACGTCTGCCTTCCCTGTAGCAAGCAGGAGTTTGGCCACTTTCTCGTGCCCTTCCTTAGCAGCTAACGAAAGCGGCGATCTACCATATCTCTGATCCCTAGTATTAACATTCACCTCCCCCGTAGCAAGGAGCAACTCAACCACTGCATCGTGGCCTGCCCATGCAGCCCACGAAAGTGATGACATGCTATGGCTTTCATCTCTTACGTTAACATCAACCTCCCCAGTAGCAAGCAATCGCTTCACAATTCCATCATAGCCGTTTATTGCTGCCATGAGCAGAGGAGTACCGTTATCGGAGTCCTTGCAGTCAACCTCTATCTTTCCTGTATCGAGAAGGCGCCTCACTATGGCTTCGTAGCCTCCTCTTGCTGCCCAGTAAATTGGTGTCCTTAGCCTTGAATCCTTTGAATTGACATCAACCTCTTCGCTAGCAAGGAGGAGCTTTACCACTGCCTCTTGCCCAGATCGTGCTGCCAACGACAGGGGTCTAATTCCGGACGAATCACTGGAGTCGATATCTGCCTTGCCAGTGGCAAGTAGGAGGCGAACTATTCCCTCGTGGCCATTCTCAGCTGCCAGTGCTAGCGGCGTACTGCCAGCCATATCCTTCGAATCTATGTCTATACTTTCCTGGATAAGGAGCTTCACCACCTCATGGTGGCCATTCTGAGCTGCCAATGATAATGGGCTTCGACCTACTGAGTTCCTAGAGTCGATGTCCACCTCATCTGCGGTGAGCAGCAGCCTCACAACTGCTGTGTGACCACGTTCTGCTGCCCATAATAACGGTGTCTGATCGTGTTCCGAATCCTTTGAGCTAAGGGTTGCTTTTCCTGCAGGAAGAATGGACTTGACCACTCCGGTGAGCCCCATTGATGACGCAATCAAAAGCATTGAAGTGCTGTCAGGAACATCATCGGCCTTTACGGCATGGATCCTATACCATGTTCGAAATATATCCGACATTGGTTCGCAAAGTGACTTCGCGCGGTCTGTTAGCGGATCCTCGTCTGGAATGCAAGCTTGGCGGAAATGAGTGGCCCAATAACATGATGAGTAATCTAGCATACATCCCTGGAAAGAGCCATCTGATTCAAGAGATATACAGGAAATGCATATTTCTGCGAGAATCCGGTTTGATTCACCTGGATGGAGTGAATACTTCCACGTTGTTGTGGATTGCGAAAGAGTTTTGTCCGGAGTAGAGTTGCTATCCTGTACCAAGAACTCCTTCGCGGTCTGATGAAGGAGGTAGACCTTGTCATCCAGAATGATCACGAAGAGTCCGCAAAGGTCTCTCAAAGTCTTCCTGAAGCGATATGCTGGTTCCATGTTATCAGCTATATCTGTCGAATCTTGATAACCTGCACTAAGTGCAAGACCGAGAGATAATTCATCCAAGGAAAGAGGTCGCATGGCAGCTGTAATGATATGAAGAACAGTCTTTGCCTTCTCTTTATCAGGACTCCGATCCAATATTTTCTCATAGGCACTGTCGACGGTGGTAGGTAGATCGCTCAGTATCCGGTGGACCTTGCCTTTTGAGAACTCCGGGGTGTTTTCAAGAACATCTAATATCAAGCTCACCCATAAATAAGTTCGATTTGAAACCGCAGTAAGTTTGTGTATGAGCATCTCGCACTCTCCATTCGTCAATGATCTCTGTCTGCTGATATCGTGCACTCTTGTCGAGATAACAAGGTTGATTTCTTGTGAAATTTGCTCAGCCTCTCTCTCACCATCACCACTTAAATGAATTGTGGGTAGAATTGTTATGAGATCAGAGAGACCACGCCGTATATGCTCATAGGGTCTACTCATGAACAAAAACTTCAGCTTGCTATTATTATGGGGGCCTGAGTAGAAATCGTTGACGGCATTGATGAGCCGGTTCCGATCCTCGTCCTGGCACTCATCTAAGGCATCAATGAGACAGATTATCTCGTCTGCCTTGGGATTGGTCGAAACTAACATCAATATATTCCACAACTCTGAGAATGACTGGATCAGCTGGTCGCCATCAGTGTCCACTTTGTCCAGGATTGCATCGTGCAAAAGGTGAGGCTGAGCTATGAATAGCTGCCTTAATATCACTGAAAGCGCGCTTGTTGCACTCTTCTGGTCAGCAAAATCGTCTTTAAAGAAGAAATAGCAGACTGTTCGCTTATCATTGCTGATAAGAACTTCATCCACTAGATATCGAGTCAAGACCGACTTGCCGCATCCTGGATCAGCTGATACCCATAGTAGACCGGAAAGATCGTCGCCTGAGCTTCCTTGCCAGGCATGGAACTTATTGTGTCCTATGAACCACTCACAGGTCCCAGGGACACGCTTATTGTTTCGGTCTTTCCGGTCCTTATAGGGACAAGTGTAGAGCAGGTTCAGAAACCGTTTCACCTGCTTGTCTCGATCGGATGTTGTTGTCCATGTATCGCGATCGCGTAAGGCCTCCAGTATCTTTTTATATTCATTTTGAAGCTCTTCATGCCTTTGCCTTGATTCTGCATCTGCAATTACGCAAGTGGTTCGACCTATTGTATTCTGGTATCTCTCAAATTCTTGCAGCAGGTTGGTCCAGCCGTCCCGGTTAAGAACATCTCTCCAGAACCGGGATGCTCGAGGTTTGTGTAAATAGCAGAGCGCTCGGGCTTGGAATTCTAGTATCTTTGAGTAGAATGAAATAATGATTTTCCGAAGATTATCGAGGAGGCTAATGTCCTGTTCTGTGCTCGAGTGCAAATAGAGGCGCTCCATTACGTGAAGTCGGCAAATCAAATCAGAAATAGATTCTAAGCCTTGCAAAAGATGGGAATGCTGCTCTGCTGCTTGGATAACCGTCTGAAGATCGTTAAAATTTAGGCCACGCATGTCAGGGAAAGTACTAAGCTCCGCTCACCGTAAAACAAGCCATTATTCCAGCACAGGCAAGTGAGGCTGCTAGACTTGCATTCGCTGCAGTTGTCACAATATCCTTAACCGCAAGGAGATTTTGGAAGACCTTGGTAAGTTGATCTCGGACGATGATAGCATGGGTCCCTAGGTTTATCATCCACTTCTTCTCCTCCACTTGAGCTGCCTTGGTCTCGAGGAACTCAGATAGCCGTTCATGAAGGCATGAATCCCCGGGTTGAAAGCTCAAACCATACTCGGACTGCAATATCTCAACAGATGCTGTCATAATCTTATCCAGTTCACTGTTTGCTCTCGATTTGCGCTCGGCCTGGACCCAGAGATCGTCAGATGGGGAGGCAGGTCTTTCAAAATTCTCACGCTTGGGTGTCAGGCCTTTTGAGGCTTCAAAGCCCTCCTTGCTAGGAGAGGTGCCTCGGGTACAATGTGTTTTCTTCTCATGTCGTCTTCTCCTGAAAAGTGAAGATTTGGCTTTGGAGAGAAGGTCGGGCATCTCTCGACTGAATATCGCGACTATAAGTCTTAAAGAAGCAATGTATATAATGAGCTTGAACCGTTCATCCAGTTTGTTACTGTGAATGCCTTACCCTGTCCTTTACCAATGCCCCGCGCCGGGGCGTGAGTTGGCGCAGCAGGGAAATGGCGGCCAAAATCAACCAATCACGCACTTTAATGGTACAGGATTATGCCTAATCCTTGGACCAAACCAAAATAGGCTAGCGTTTTGATCTCCCACTTGATAGTGGAGAATCATGTCAATTTTCTCTCTCGCATTGAAAAAGATGGATAGAAATATCGACATCGGAAGGGACATATTTATCCGATGCTTGATTATGATTAGGCAGTATGGCATTGTTATCTTCCTAGACAGGCTTCGCTAACGATTAGATCCAAAAGCTTTACTTTGTTGAATCGAACAAATGACTGGTTTTTATAGGGATATAAATCCGTGTCCTCAGGATTTTTGAGTTCATGCGCAGTACGCAGCTATGTCCATCATGATAAATTAGGTCATTGTTTCGGACACCACCATACAGCCACTCAAAAAAACCCATATACATCACATGTAGAATAGCCCACAAGATATAATAAGACATTGACCCCGAACTTTGCCAGCAACAAGACCAATACACTCAAGCTGTGGCTCTGTGGTAGAACAATAACATACCGAAGTCAGCACATTCCAGGCCTCATATCAGGACTGTTAAAGGGAGCTTACCTCAGTTCGTCGTCTAGCAACTACAGAACGGAGCGGGGTCACCCAAGGGCCAGGCGCAGCATCCACCTCCACACTGGGCGGCCTCTACCCATCGTGCACCATTACAGATTGCCACGGCATTGAAGTCGTCGGTGCAGTCGTAAGTGCTGCTGCCGCTGCAGGCTTGACCGATAGTGGCAGTTCCATGAACGGAGGTGAGAAGTGTGGTAGCGATGGTAATGGTGAGAGCTGAGAAGATTTGCATTCTGGAGATGCTAAAGGGCTGCTTGGTTCGATTTTGTACTGGAATTCGATCAGGAGATGAATGATGCGATGGCTCGGATGTGAATCAGGTTGTTAGCCTGGTGAATTGAGATGGTATTTATATTGCTCCATGGACTGGCTGTAGTTGTGTAGGTGACCAGGCTATGATCGTGCTGGTGTTGGTTACGAGTGCTCGTACAATCCTTATGAAGTATCTACTGGACATGAATGGACAGGAGTGTGAGGCGTCCAAAGAGTCGCTTGATAGAGCCCAATGCTCGACGCAAGTATTGTTGGATAGGCTCATAGCCACTCTTGGCTCTGCGCGAAGCTGTAGGTATCTAAATGGACTCATCCGGATACTCCGGATAGAGCCTGATAGCTAAGGTATGTTCACTGAATGGCAAAGGTCTGATCATGATATGCAGCTATGCCTGCATCTGATACAGTAGGCTGACGTCATTTAGAGGTTTGATATGGCTTTTCTGACAGCCGAGGACAATATTACGCTGTAGTCGCCGTGGAATATTCGTTAAAAGACTATCTGCGTTGGTTAGTCGAGGGAGGATGCTGTGCGTGGACTTGTAGAATATTTAAAAAGCTCAGAGGTATATTTCAGAAGTCATTAGGCATGGGTGGCTTCTAAATGCAGTTGCAAGACAGGTAGGTATAGCCTTTAGCCTGGCGCAAGTCACTTTCGGTGATCATGTCTCTTGCTTATTCTCCGCCCCGGATACGAGATTGAGATGTAGGGCGATGATCTTCCCGTGTTGGCGTGTTAGGCCTCCCACAGATCGACATCGCTGAATCTTGGTTCTGCGGGGCGAAGCTCCCTGGCGGTATATGTACTTCGTATGTGTTAGATGGTGGCCTGATATGAATACAGAGTCAATCTGAAGGCGCAAACGCTGGATGGGACCGGATTCATCGTCAAGGGTTAGATCCTGCGAGGCTTTATTCCACTCTCGACAGGACTCCGGGTACGACGTGTAACCAGACGATAATATCTTTACGTAAGGATATAATGACAATGATTTGTGGGAGGTATACCTGGAGAAAGAAGTTGTCCTCCCAAGGAACCGATCTCCTGGGGTGATTGGCAATGTCCCTGAAATGTGATGCCTGAGGCCAGATAAATTGCGTTCGGCAAACTTTCCAAGGCGGTATTATTCTGCCAGGTTTTTGCCAAACACCTTCCCAAAGTAGAAGGCGGACTTGCTCCTCCTCCACTTTCCTCTTCTGGCTGATGTGTTTTGCCCTCAGCTTCGACTTGATCGAGCACCACCCATAAGCACGTGGGAATCCAGGTCTGCTGCTCGGAACGTTGCTGGGGAACCTGGGAAAGAAGTACCCACTAAGAAATGGAAATAGTGAGAACATGCAGCAGATTCGGCACATATTAGCCCGCCAGGAATGCGGGGATAGGACCCTCAATGTAATTCAGTCGGGGGAGCGATAGCCCGTGCACCAATCGCCGTGGCAGATAGACGGAGGTGCCCACATCCCGACATATTGACCTAGTCGGCCGCTGGGGTAAAACTGGTGCCTGACGAAATTTCACTAGCCAGGGTACTTATTTGAATGGCAGTGTTGGAGGATGCTCGTAGGAATGACACCTTGACAGCCATATAGGAAAATGTCCGGGAAGCCATTGGCCATCTTTACGTGCAGCAGCTTGCTGTTCGCGTCGCTCATAGGTGCCCAAAGGCGCGTAAACATACTGACCCTAGTGACTTGGTTATTGCTGACGAAATTGACAGTGACACTATCGTGCTTCCTACCCGATACGGCACCAGCTTGGGGTTTGCGAATTATACCCAGCATGGAAACGCATCCTGCTTCACGCTTGACCAGAAAAGCTCATTGATTACCCTGGACTACGGTACCGAAGTTGGGGGATTCCCCTTCTTCCATGTGGACTCTCTATCCAACGCAGTCCAGATCGAGGCCAAGTACACCGAAACCAAGACCGGTCTTGACGAGCCGTTTGGTGATGGCCCATGGACCTTCTCCAACGGCCTCTCTGATACCTTCCGCGTCGAAACGTTCAATGTCACCTCACCCGGGACAGTGGAATCCTTCTTCATTCAAGGGGGCCTTCGCTGGCAGAACCTCAAGCTCCTCACAGATGGCAGTGTTCGCATATGCGAAGCTGGTATCAAATCTGGAAATGACCGCACTCCGGTAAACAAACTGCCAGGGTTCTTCGAGAGCTCGAACAATCTGTATAATGAAATATGGGCTTTAGGGCCACGCACAGTCCAGCAAGCATGCATCGCGGCAGATACCGCACCATCAACATGGGAAGTCACTGACGAAGGTGTGTATCTTCGTGGACAGCAACCTGCTCAATCAGTGGCAGGAGCGTCCTTTGACAACTACACCATGACCTTCCAGACCAAGATTATCCGTGGAGGGACAGGTTGGAAGGTTGCCGCTGGTGTGGGCGGATTTGGTCCTTATTTTGTTCTTACCAGCGAATACCCTGCTGACTCCACATTTGTCAATACCAACCGAACGATCGTCCCTGCAAACACACTAGCTGTGGGTTACGGGTGGAACCTGGTGAATCAGACCTCTCTCACCACCGGAAAAGTGAATCATTATTCTTTACCCTTCAACATGAAGGAGGGAGAATGGTATGAGATCTCGACTTCCATCAATGCGACCGGATACGCCGTTACCATCAATGGGACCGAGACATTCGTGGCACTGGATGACCTGCAAATCGTATCTGGTACTACTGGCTCCTCTGGCAGTCTGACAGGCGGTACCTGGGGCTTTGGGCCATATCGGGATCAAATCGCTCTTGTCAAGGATGTTGAGGTCATTGCACAGAATGGTACCCAGCTGTACCAGAATCCGATGACGCTCAGCTCCGTCCTCGAGGAATATGGAGTGATGGCCAGTAAGCACTCCGTCTGTCTGGACGGCGCGAAAAGGGACCGTCTTGTCTGGAACGGTGATTTTGTACACACTTACCGCGTCATCCAGTCCAGCACCTATCGCTCCGATTTTATAACAGGATCCTTAGAATACTGGATTGACCGTCAGGCACCGGACTCGTCGCAGTACGCTGGCTATTTCAGCATGTCGCCTGCCATGGGCCAGTCGGCGAAATACGTTGACACGTATGCTTCTTTCGGACTTCTTGATTACCAGCTTTTCCTTCTCAACGTATTTGCTGGTCACTACAGAAACTCTGGCGACAAAGTGTTTGTGGCTAAGCATTGGACAAAGATCAAGAAGGGCGTGGAAGCTATCCTGCCTTTGATCGATGACCAATCCGGACTGGCCGTCGCCACTGACATCGGGGCATTCTTCTCGGGATCCGACAATGGCACTGCAGTATCGGGGCTCCTTGCCCACACACTCGACCAGATGGCCGATGTGGCATCCGCGATTAATGAGACCGATGTTGCGAGAACGTGGACTCGTTCGGCGACTTCAATCAAAGCTGCGATCAGCCAACGGCTCTGGAATTCCAGCTTTGGATACTATGCGACCGACCTGAGCAACCCGACCGAGCAGTCTATCACCGGAACTGCCTGGGCTATTCTTGCGGGAGTCGCCAATGCCACGCAAGCAGAATCCTCCCTCGCAGCATTATCCTCTCTTCGGCTTGGAATAGGCTACAAAACGTCGAGCTCCGTTGCCGACGCATCAACGACTAATCTTGCGCCTTTTCTCACCGGTTTCCTCTTAGAATCAATTTTGCAGGAGAGTCGCAATAGCCCCAACTCAAGTCAAGCCAGATCTACTGCTATTAGCGTGCTCCTTGACCAACTTTGGGCTGCGATGGTCACCCAGGATGAATACTATACTGGTACAACTTGGGAATACCTTTACCCTGATGGCCGACCTGGGCTTGACCTCTACACGTCGCATGCACACCCCTGGGCAGCTGCGCCAACGTACGTTCTGTCGGAATATGTCCTCGGTGTTCAAGCGACTTCGGCTGGATTTTCTGACTGGGAGTTTCGTCCCGCGATGTTAGATGTGAATGTTTCATGGGCACGGGGAAGAGTGCCCACTCCTCATGGGGCGATCCAGGCTAGCTGGCGGTTGAATGGCACGAGCGTGCAGTTGAGCGTGTGTGGCCCTAGTGGTACAGAGGGAGTCGTCAGCGTGCCATTTTCCATAACGTCGTATTCAGTAAATGGAAAACAACAGATAGACAGCAAGGACGGCTTGGAGGTCCATGTGTCTGGAGGATCATGTACTGATATCCATGCCGTCAGAGGTTGAATGCGGCTTTACTCTTCGAGAATTGTACATACCGTGTTGTCGCTTATTAAATCAATGAGCTGCATATATCAGACTAATCTATGTAATAGACTTTGTCTAAACCCCAGTTAGGCGCCAGAGATGAATTTCCTCCAGGTACCCTGGACGCACGAGTGGGGTCCAACCCCGCAAAACCTAAATTAATAGCCAATTTCTCGCTTTTACCCCAGCCCAACAATGCAGCCAATCGCAACACGGACTGGATGCGGTCTGCGGGCCACGCGGCTGGCCATGGCATATCCGCCTTGCTTGTGGCGTTCCATAACCAACAGTCGTCCAGAAACCCTGGTCTGGCGTCGGCTTGGGCCACTCGCTATAGATTGCTCAACTTTTCCAGCAGCTCTCGAGCCTTCTCATCAAGCACATGGCTTGTTTTTCGGTCTTGATTATCCCGAAACCCCAGAAGCTTGGGCTTCTCCAGATGCAGATTGGATAAAAGGATGCGCTTCCCCTAGGGCTGCATCGTGGTCTTCGCACCCCGGATGCACAACTGACCCCTTTTCTTCCATTATCCACGCTACGGCTCCTTCTTCCGCGATAGCCCAACATGTGGCGACGCCGCATCACAATCGATGACAGGGCCATTACTGATGGTTCGGGCATCACGCTCAAGCAGTCCCTTTTCCCTAATTTTCTCGGTTCGAGGTCCCCAGTATATTGTGTGATCCGGTGACTAACTAACATCTGCCCCAATTAGTAACCATTCTTTTCTTCCTCTGGGGCTTTGCTTACGGCCTCCTTGATACCCTCAACTCCCACTTCCAAGATGAACTCAATATCACGGCAAGCATGTCATCAGGCCTATCCGCCGCGTACTTTGGCGCATACTTTCTCTGTCCCTTGACAGTCTCGGGATGGATTCTCCGCCGATTCGGTTTCCGCGTCACATTTATGACTGGGTAAGACTACCACAGCCCTCCCATCTCGCTCCACTAAAACCATTGCACATAGCCTATGCGTAATGACAATCGGATGCCTCCTCTTCTGGCCCAGCGGCGTCAAAGCTTCCTTCGGTGGTTTCTGCGGCAGCATGTTCGTCGTCGGCGCCGGCCTCTCGACCCTCGAAACCGGAGCCGACAATTTCCTTGCCATCTGTGGCCCCCCTCGATACTCCGAGATTCGACTGAACCTAGCGCAGGGTATCCAAGGCGTGGGAACATTCGTGGCGCCGCTTCTCGCCTCACGCGTCTTCTTCGCCAACACCGTCGATACACAACAGGGACTGAAGAACGTCCAATGGGTGTACCTAGGTGTCGCATGCTTCGTGGCCCTGCTTGTGCCGCTCTTCTATATCGCGCCTATGCCGGAGGTTACTGATGCGGATATGGGTCTGCAGGAGCGGGATATCTCCGAGACCGATGTTGGGCCGTTTAGGAAACAGTACAATTTGTTCCTTGGCGTGTGGAGTGAGTTCTGCTATACCGGGGCGCAGGTGGCTGTTGCGAACTACTTTATCAATTTCGCCGAGGAGGCGGGATATAGTGCTGCCAAGTCATGTAAGTCTCCCACTTCCTTTCCTTATCACTTTGACTGGATGGTGCCTCTAACGTCTCATCAGCCGACCTTCTCGCCGTCGGCCAAGGCCTATACACCTTCATGCGCTTCGTCTCCAGCGGCCTCATCACTGTCGGGGTAAAACCCCGCTACATCCTCGCCACATACCTAGGACTGTGCTTCATATTCGGTGTCGCTGCAACCACCACATCTGGTCCTACCAGCGTGGCTATGTTGATTCTCGTGCTTTGTTTTGAAAGTGTACGTCGCCCCGCACTCACCTCCACTCCCACCTCATACTAATTTAAATTAATACAGGCCTGCTTCGCCACAATCTTCACCCTCGCTCTACGCGGTCTAGGCCAACACACCAAGCGCGGCGGCAGTATGCTAGTAGCCGCTATCTCTGGTGGTGCTGCCATCCCGCCCATGACTGGAGCTGTGGCCACCCATACGGGCAACTTTCACAAAGCCATGGCGATCCCGACGGCCTTCTATGTCCTCGCATGGATATTCCCCATCTATGCAAATACGGTGAGTCGGAAGCTGTTGGATGGACATCGGACAACGGATGTGAATGTTTCGGGGGAGAAGAAGGTGGTTGATGGGCATGATGGGGTGGAGGTGGAGTTGCGGACGGAAGACGGAAAGGGTGGGACGGAGAGGGTGGAGAATGTTGGTGCTGCGTAGAGTATGTGGTACTGTGGTTGGCTACGTGAAAAGAGTATGTTATAGTGCTTGGTGTGTTGCGATTCTCTCGACTATCTAATGCAACGAGCCAGTGAATCGGCTCCTCAACACAAGCTTATAGGTGATTTGCCAAGGCCATTCTTCTTGTCACTTCATTAAGCAGCTGTGATAGCCCGCCATGATGAAAGTAGCATTTGCCCCAGTAGCCCTTGGCGTCGGAACTCATCAAGTTACTCACCAAGAACAAGACTCACTAGTTAAAGACGTCAACGCTCGTGCAATCTCCAATTTCAACATATAATCCATGCCACCTACAGTCAAAATCAAGCGATACCAGCCAGCAGCCTCCCAATCCAAAAGCCCTGTGATGCGACCATCCTGTACCTTGATGTTATAATATTGCAAATCCCCGTGAGTGAAAACGATTGGATGGGATATACCCTGCATCGCAAGGCTTCTTTGTACTCCCGCTTCGATCGGAACTCACCCGGCGAACCAGGTTCAATGAGATACTCGTTGAAGTCCTTCTCTGTCTCGAATGGGCCAATACGGTGGTCTGGGACCCTGGTACTTCGAATAGGAGTGCCAATGAGGGAGCAGATTCTCTTCCCGCCCCAGGGTCTCTTCCACTTCCGGATTAATTTCAGATAGAGGTCAAGTTGTCTCGTTATCGAGTTTTTTTTTTTTTTTTTTTTTTTTTTTTTTTTTTTTTTTTTTTTTTTTTTTTTTCATTATTGAGTGCTTTGTAGGCTTCACCTAGCTGTTTGCCGGGTGCACGGGTCATCAGGATCGGAACTGGTGCGTGAGGAGTATCCGGACGGTCCTTATAGCAAATGACTTTTGGGACTGGAAGGCCTGCTTGTCTGGCAACTTTCATAGTCAACACCTCTTCTATGCGGGTACTGTCAGATCATTTCAGAAGTAACCCAAAGGGGAGTTAAGCAATTTGATTGTTGAAGGACATCCCGACCCAGTTACAGCATGAGTGAGAGAACAATCTCAGGTAATAATGGACAGGGGTTGGTAATATCTGGTCACTTGGGACTTCTGGGATGTTGTTTGGCCAGGCAAAGTCTGTGAGAAGGACTCGCGGTGTCCGCCATGGTGGCATTTTGGCTGTTGATTGTTGAACAGCCGTTGAGGGATATGCAGAGAAGGTATCCTAACTCTGGACTTGATATACGTCCTACTAAGGTTTTTATACTGATAAATCGATGAAGGCAGTGCAACAAACGGATTGTGGAACGTTCAATTATATGCATCACCTGAAGTGTCACGTGATCTTTTGTGCCTTTCTGTGAGGCCGTACGAATTTCCTTTTTGGGTAAGAGCTTGCTATGAGGAACGGTACAAATCAGTGTGTCTTCTGATTATCAGTTCTACATGCATTCAGTAACTGTGAGACGTATCTATCTCTTGCATCTACACTAACGTCAATTCGAATCCGCATCGGAATCAGCACTGATCGGCCGATGCTTATCTCGACGGTCTCAACCCCGCACGGCACATTACGCAATTTAGCACTTCCCAAGCCTCTCTAACCTCATCTGCTATCAGACCCAATCATTCTTAACACACACTATACTCGGTAAAATTAAACTTACAACTACTTGTTAGATACTTGTTTCTAACAATCCAAATAGAACATCACCACCATGGCCTACCAGTCAGACGAATCCCTAGCCACAATTCTAAACAATTCCCTGAGCCATCACATTGAAATCTTCCGCGCTAGAAACTTAGAATCAGGCGCAGCCATTCAATCAGCTGAAAACAGTATCCCCAATGGCACCTCGCGCGGTGTGCTCTTTCACATCCCGCACCCACTCGTCTTCCGCGGCGGACATGGCTGCTATCTCACCTCACTAGACGGAGACGAATACGTAGACTTCGTCTCCGAATATACAGCAGGCATGTTTGGGCACTCGCATCCAGCCATCATTGAGGCCATGCAAACTGTCACGCAGCAAGGGTTCACACTGGGCGGTGTTACCAGCAAAGAGGGTGAACTGGCGCAACTTCTTATCTCGCGGTTCCCAAGTATAGACGCAATCCGGTTCTGTAATTCGGGGACGGAGGCAAATATGTTTGCTTTGGGGGTTGTTGTCGCATTCACGGGGAGAAAGAAGGTACTTCCTAATTGTTTATACCTAGTCAACTGGCTCAAAGCTAAGACATCCCTAGATCCTCGTCTTCAAAAACGGCTATCACGGCGGCACGCTCACCTTCGGGGCTAACACCGCCCTCAACCTCCCGCACGAATTCATTATAGCGAATTACAACGACATCCCGGATACCCGAGCAAAACTCACCTCCGACATTGCTGCCATCCTCGTGGAACCTATGCAGGCGGCGGGAGGGATGATCCCGGCTGACATCCCCTTTCTGCAATTCTTACGGGACGAAGCGACCCGGCTGCAGGCAGTACTCATCTTCGACGAAGTCGTCACATCACGACTCTGCTATGGCGGACTTCAGGAACGGTACGGTATCGTACCGGATATGACGACTTTAGGGAAGCACTTCGGCGGCGGGTTCTCGTTCGGTGCGTTTGGCGGGAAGAAGGAGATTATGCGGTTGTTTAAGCCGAGAGCCGAGCAGTCGTTATTCCATACTGGGACGTGGAATAACAATGTGTTTTCAATGACGGCTGGTGTTGTAGCGGCTAATCTGATGAGTCGGGAGGCGCTGGAGCGGGCGAATGATCTGGGAGATTATTTGAGGGAAGGATTACGTCGCATATTTGATCAAAGGTGGTGTGCTTGGCTTGATGTGGTCGTTAGTGGAATAGGGAGTACAGTGGGAGTGAAGTTTTTGGGGGAGAAGGGGGACATGATTCGGGATCTCTATTATTTCTATCAGTTGGAAGGGGGCGTGTATATGGCGCATCGGGGATCGTTTGCAGTCAATCTGGTGCATCAACGGGAGCATGTGGATTTGGTGCTGGAGGTGACGAGGAATTTTTGTCGCTCGCTGTCGTACATGTAGCCGAAGTTAATATGTTCAGTTACAGAGTCAGAGAACACATTGTGGCGTTGATGGAGCATACATACGCTGTGGGATAGTTAGTCTCCGTATTTCCGATCTCGGATTAGACTGACGCGGAAAGCCGAGACCGCAAAGGTCCGTCACATCTCGGTGATGTCCAAGGCGTTGACATCATTGCCGAGATAATTACGAGGCCGATCGATGCCATTAATCATCTCTGTCCGACTCTGCTGAGACGATGAATTTCACTGGCTCAGACAAGACAAGGATGATGATATAATCAATGGCCGGAAATGGCAACATTGTTCCTGGTGGCCAAGATGCCAGATCCACTGGTGCAGTATGGTTGGGAACATGCTTAATATTGCTTTTATACCTTGTCTATAATTTTTACAATTTTGTATAATTATATTTCCATCAGACTGGTTCTACTTTAAACAGGACTAACCCAGATTGCGGCCCTGCATTCGCCCCCATGAAGAAGACTAAGTACCACCCCCCCCCATTGAGGGCCCCATCCAGAAGCCCTACCAAACAACGACGACATCAGCATAAGCGAAGCGCCATGGAACGCCACGAGCACGTGTAAACCAATGATGAATGCCAGCGCGGTAGATAGCTGGTAGCTGCAATGAAAGTTGCAAAATGCAGAAACAATGACAGTATTAAGCAGTGGAACCGGGCTGGACCCGCCTGACGTCACGGATCGCCCTTCCGCCGACCCTGACAAAACAAGATTATCAATGCAGCCCTGACGTGGTCCCTGCCTTCCATTATTTGTCTACTTAGCAGAATCTCATATAAGAAAATTATGGACAGAATATTGCTTCTCTATTTTCATCAATCCTATCTCCCTTTATTTCTTAAAATCATCAATAATGGCCGTCATCTGGGGATTAGATCTCCATGAAATGCAATGGAGCAAATTCAAGAGCTCCTACATGTTCACACGCATATATCATCTTCGTCGCACAAAGATGATTGTCTATCAGCTGGCTATGATTTTTTGTGTTTGCTCGGAATCGGTTGGGACGGCGGCGTTGTCTGGTTCGCTCCATTCCTTCTGCCCACTGCCAGTGAAAGATTCGCAAATGCTAACTGAATATGTCAATAGACTACCTCGACCAACAAGACGAAATCCAAAACCAACATCCCGGAATCTACGTCTACAACAACGACTTCATCGGCGCCGCATCATACAACATCTTCGTCGGAATCGCCGTCGCATTCATATTTGGTGGGGCGTTCTTCTTCGATTTATTCTGGCCGGAACGTCACGAAAGTCACTCTGTCCGGTTGGCGTGGAAGATTTGTGCCGTGATTGTGTCGGTCATGATGCTGAGTTCGGCGTTGACGATGACGGTATGATAGCTGGAGATGGGTTTGAGATGGATGTAGGGCTAACAATGGGGATAGATCATCACAGCGACGGGAAGTGCCCGCATCGATGGAACGGATGCGTCAACGGCGCGGAAGTTTTGGGAGGAATCGATGAAGAAGCCTGCTTTGAGTATGTCTCGCATTTATAATGTCGTAGAGTGCTGCTTCGTGCTAACAGGGAGGAATAGAATATCATACGAACCCACGGGCGATCGCATCCGCTGTTCTGGCTTGGCCGGGTTGGGTATTTACGACTGTTAGGTATAGTGTTCTCGTCTTTCACTTTCTTCGGAAGATATGCTAATGGATGATAGTACGGTTATCCTCTTCCTATCGCAGCACCACGATGATCAGTATGGACCCAAGTCGGCCTACGGTCGGCAACTGGGCAGTGCTGCTGATACCGGGGAAAGAGTCACTACCGAGGATAAAGTTGTCAATGATGTTTAGATTCTTCTTTTGATGATATGATAATGAGGGTGATGGGGATATCTGAATTACTTATGACTGTATATACCATTGTACTTTTATGCGACTGTAATGACCTGTTGTATTCTGATAGGGATAGAAGGCGCAAAGGGGGATTGGATTTTGCTTGATTGTGAATATTGATGGTTTCCTTCGATTTCGATTCAATAGACATTATCTCGATAGGCATTAGACCATATGCATTGTAGCCTATCTCTAGAGAAATAAGGAGGGAAATGATGGAACTCAGAATTGATAATGGACGGTCGCATGATTTGTTGGAGCATTCCATTGTGTTCATATTAAAACTGCTAGCTGGCAGTGCAGTCAGGTCTCCACAACATATTTCTGTGCCGCGCCACCAAAACAGATTCAATTTCCCAACCATTCCACTAGATCCAAGAAACAACACTCAATGACGTCTACTGCAAATTGGGCAAGATGATGATCTTAAGTCCAAGAGATCAAACCGCGAGAACACTTCGGCCCCCATCTTTCGTGATTCTCTGCCGGACCCTAATGGCGAGATATTCCGACCCCAGCCTACGGAGTTCGTAGCCGCCATCTTCGTCAATGCTAACGTCCACAATGGAGCTCGGAGAAAACAGAAGCGCCTCACCGACACGAAGATTAACGATGTGGTCAAACAAGGATTTCTCGTTTGCTTCGTCGAGCTCCCCTTCTTCGCCGTCAGTGCCTCTACCTCCAGTCTTACCCTTCTTGCGAGCGAAAGGATTAGTAGCCGCACCCGCCAGGTGCTTCTGCAGGATTCTCAACCACTCCGGGGAGGCGAATCGGTGAACAATGGTTGCGGTACAGAGATTAAGCAGATCCGTTGACACCGTGGGTTCCTGGGTCGAGATAATTATCCTAGCCGCAAGGTGACGCTGGAGGCGGACGACAGAGAGAAGCGTTTCAGTAAACGCCTGTGCTTCAGAAGAGGTCTTCATGTACTATATCGACTGTTAGGAGTAATCTTCAACGAGAAAATAAGTAGGGGGCTAACCTTGTGTGCTTCATCAAGTGCAACGACCCGCCCGATGTCGCTCTCTTGCTCCATGAAGATGGCGAGCGAGATGTTGAAAAGTGAACACGCCGTTCCAGGAGATATGCACGGACATGAGAGATCGAGAATTGTCAACTGGCCGGCCTGGATGTATTGTTAATCATCATCATCTGACAATGGGTGCATCATGCTCACCTTCGGCTCCCAAAGCGAGCCTCGCTTCGGTAGGGTCTGCGCTCTTTTGTATGTCGCTTTGGTAACCTGCGTCTGCGGCATAAAGCTCTCCAACATCTCCAAACGTTGTTTTAGTGGCTCGAGCTGGCCAGGAGTCAGACCAGAATCGAGGATTTTGTTCTTAAAAGCCTTGTAATCAAAGCCGGATTGTGTCTCTTGTTGAGAGGTCCTCATCTCCCGGAGTATCCGCTTGGCGGTATGCATGTATAATGGCAATTCTCCGTCACCCTGGGAAACCGCCATAAGGTCCATCATACGCTCCGTATTAAGATCGTTCTGATCAATGTACAAAGGCTCCACGGAGACGTCCAGTCGTGAGTATGCTTGCTATCAATGTTATTAGTTATCTGATACGGCCAGGCCATGAGAAAACGGAGTAGAATACTAACGGTAATAGACCAAACATTCGATGGAGAGCATAGGACGCGAACTTTCACATCTGGGTGCGACGACAAAAAAGCAGCCTCACATGGGGAGCCGGTCACGTCGCTAAAGAATGTGTCATAGTGGAAGACCAACCCAGTTAGGGGATTTGGCAGTTTTCCAGCCTTGGACTGGATCAAACAGTTTTCGAGCAAGCAAGAGAGCGTGTGGCTCTTGCCCGAGCCCTGTGATCCACAAATAAAGACACTTGATGGGTGGGAGACATTGAAAAACAATCTGGGATCAGTTTCCTTCGAGAATGCCTCTCCCTTCTTGATTAGGGACAGCTTATGCATCGAACCAGCCAGCAATCCGAGCTGGGGGATGCCGCCGGACATAGTTTCTTCGCCATCTTGGTTGACGACTACATCCAAAGCACAGCCTGCGATGATCGGTGCATGCTCGGACTTGCTACGATCACAATCAGTGTCAGACTCTGGTCCGAGTAGGGTCATTTGGTGCTCTATAACGGCTTCCTGGAACTCGGAATCCTGTGCTATGGAAGATGAATCACTAGATGACTGCCCGGTGTCAACTGTGTTAGCAGACTCGAAATATATAGTAAATAGAACTGGTCTGTCACTAGAAGCCACACTCACGGGTTCATCGTAGTCTTTCATGTTAGATTCAATGTATGGCTGCATTTTAGCGTGAGGTCTGTAATCAAACGAGTTGGTCCGTGCAACCCTTAGTGAAAACCAGAAGACTCGGAAATACTGGATTGGGATGGAGGAGTGACGGAAGAGAAGAAGAGAGAAGGCGGTAAGAGAAGAGAATATAAAAGGAGAAAAAAACAAGCTCTCGTCATATTGAATGGACATCATAGGGAAGTTGTGAATTAAGATGCTATTTGTCAACATGTTGGTGAACGTGGGTGCCCATTCATATCCCTGACCAACATGCCCCATCACAGTGATATGGGCGTTGTGAATTCAGCATAGCGGTAAATGGTAGAAGAGATTATTATTTGGCACCAAAGCACACATACCTACACCATATTCACATTGAACATGAATTCCCAACCAAACACTTCTAGGATGGAGTGACTGGAAATCACCCATAAAAGGAATCTAGTACCAGATGAAATGGTTCTACATTAGGCTTAGTGCTAGAGGCCTTAATGCCTGGGGCATCAAGGCCGTTTCCAGCTGCGAGTCGCCAATTTCCGGCCATAATAATTTCGGTGACCTTGTAGGTATTACTTAGGCAATAATCATGTGTAATGACCAGTTTGTATTCTCTGATATTGAACTCGACGCCGATATATCAAAAATGACCCATCATCTCAGCACCAATACCATTAATCCTCCTTCCATCGCCTACACACCAACCACCTCCACCCAAAGCAGCCACAACATGATTAGCCTCAGAAATCCACCACATCCCAAAATCCCGCCAGCCAAGTCCAAATGCAGAAGCTTGAATACTCCACAAACTCTATTCTCAGCCATCTCGCCAAGATCTTGGTTCCATCCGGCCAAGCTGTACCAAGAATTGTGGATGCAAGGAGCCAAGCATTGGCATAGGAGTGAGTTTGCGCCACGTGCGGCTTCAGATCGGGAATGAGCTTGTCTCCACGCTTGGCTTGACCTAGGTGAGGGAACCTGATTTTGGGGGTACGGGATAAGGGGGCTGTAATTTCCCAGTTGGAGGGTAGATGTTGGGGTTGGATAAAAACGAATGTCCCGGAGGAAAGGGTGCAAAGGGCCTATAAGCTCTGCTGCAATACTACTATCAGCGACAGCTCTACTTTGGAAGCTTAGACTTATACGAAAAGCATATATATTATGAGAAAGTAGTAGGCATTTTAGATACAACAGGATTGAGCCAAGTCGCATTGAATTAAGTACAGAAAAGAAAAGTATATGAATGGATTCATGTCTCAGCTCCTCGTTCAACCATCCAGACATCGAATTTATATAGACAGGAAATTAGATAGTATAAGGTAAGCTAGAAGAAATCTCAATCCAGCGGCAAATGTGAAGTCGCATGAGCGACGGGTATATATTATGGGGGTATGTGTGGGTATATCCACTCCATGCCTGCGAGGGCATGGCGCAAAACTAGATGCTGCGATGACTTTTTACTCCGAGGGCTCGGCCTCAGTGACCTTCTCAACGCTCTGGCTCTTGGTGAAAGAGCTGGTGCGATGGAAGTAGTTGTGAACGGAACCCTCCAAGAGGTCATCCTCGACGAAAGCCAAGTCGACATCGTCACTAGTCTTAGTCTCTTCGCTGCGACGGGCCATGATGGCCTCCCACTCAGAGCGGTACTCCTCGACGCGCTGCTGGTAGTCCAACTCGGGGTCGTAGTACTTACCAACACCACGGAAGCGCTCCCACAAAGACAGGTGCTTGGGGTGGATGGCAACACCGTGGTACTCATTCTCGCGACCCTCGCGAATGAATCTCCAGCGGCGCTCCTGCTCCTTGAGATCCAGACCGGTGGTGTCCGGAAGGAAGAAGTAAGTCAGGAACATGCCAAAAATACCCCACCAGGGCACAAAGTAGAACTTGGTCTGGGTGTCGATGTAGTTGAAGAGGATAGCAGCCAACAAGGCTCCCAGCTTACCGCAGGCAGCGGAGATACCGTGGGCGGTGGCACGGATGGGGGTGGGAAAGACTTCACCAGCCACCAGGAAGGTAATGCAGTTGGGGCCGAATTGGTTGAAGAAACTGCCCAAGAAGTACATGGCTTGGAAGGAGTGGATGTGTGCGGCTTGGGTGTAGTAGTGGTAGTGGAAAGCAGGCACCACGTACACGATGAAGCAGAGCAAGAAGCCCATGATTTGCATCCACTTGCGGCCATAGAGCTTGTTGTCCACGAGCATAATGGCAGCATAATAGCCCATCAGGGTGACAACGCAGTTGATGAAACTCCACTGCCAGGTAACGAAGATAGACTTGGTGTTGGGACTAATCACCTTGATAAAGTCACTGGAGAAGAGCTTGGCACCGTAGAAGAAAACATCGTTGGCGAACCATCCACCAGCAGTGGCCAAAACACGAGGAGTAAAGTACTTGAAAGTAAGGCGAAGAGATTCAGTGTCGTAGCCAGTGACCGAGTTCTTCTTCTTGGTGGCCGCAAGCTGCTTACTAGCAGCCTTCATGTGGTAGGCACGATAGTAGATGAGCCAGAAGGTACCAACCATGGGGATGACGAAGGAGATACGGTAGGTCCATTGGGTGTTGGTTTGGCTGATAGGCTCCTCTCCGCTACCAGCGTTGAAGATAAGAAGCAAGATCATGAGGATAGCCTGGTTCAGGACCTGACCCCAACCTTGCATAGAGAACACACCAACGACCTTGGAACCACGGTGAAGACGATCTTCGCGAGTAGAGAGCTTGCCGGAACCAACCGCGTTCTCCATACCGCTAGTAGCAGTCATAGGGTACTCACCACCTTAGACGAGTTAGCTGATCGGCTTTCGAGAGGAGGCTTTGGTGTCGCCAATGTAAAGCGGAATGTTTTAACTTACCAACACCGATACCGTAGATGAACAGGGACCAAGCATAGCAGATGACCCAACCGTTTTGTGTGACACCCCAGGCGCAAGTCAACATGACCAGGCCCAGGAACATGATCCAGGCATCCTGCAGCAAACCCCAACGACGGCCCACCCAGTCACCAATGACACCAACGAGGACCTGGCCGATGATTATACCGACGATTTCGAGGTAGGTAATAGCGTTAATCCACTGCTTGTTACAAATTTCGTATTTATCCCAGCAAGTCGAGAAAGAATGTTGGAAGAGGGTGGAGATGTTTCCAATGGACAGGAGAACGTAACTAGGGGCACGTGCGTTAGAAAGAACAAATGCAGATCAATTGATATGGGGTAACCATACCCTTCCAAGCCAATACCAGCACCTGGGATGATGGTGTTGCGGAAGTAGCCCATCATTGGGGAGAGGGGATCCCTCTTGATCTCAGCCCAGAGAGCCGACCATTGACGACTACGCTCCTTGTTGTCGACCGAGGTGACGAACTTGATACGTTGGCCAATGGGAAGGTCGGCCCAGTAGACACCCTGGGCCGTGTAGCTGTCATCGGGACGGAGGAGGCGGTCGAAACCCTCCTTCTCATTGGGATGCATCTCGGCGAAATCCTGCTTGCCGTTCATGTCGGGCCCGTGAGGAGCACGGGGGCCAAAGTCCGCCATATCTGCAGAGGATTCCTCGGAGGGAGGATGAAAAGGACTTGCAAGAAAGATAAGGATGGTCTGAACTTGAGATGCAGATGGCAAGCAGGGTCAGCAAAGACGAGCGGCGATCCCTCGCCTTTTAAATATCAAGAAGGGGATCGAGAATCCCATGCCGGCGTGTCTCGAGGTGTCAGCTTGTCAGCTAACCGGCGCAGCGACTGATCTATGCATCTCGAAAGAATAGCACCAGCACGTTCTGCAGAGAGCGGTTGTGGTTGGCCAGGGGAACTCGTGGTATCGCTGCACGTGGTTGGCGAGAGGGTGTCGCGTAGTCATCATCGCACGCGACAGACAGCCTTAAGCGAGTCGAACAGGCCACTGCAGCTGGACGCTAGCATTACTAACACGTCTAGCTGAAGGCAAAAAAGAGGGTGTATGGAGGACTGGATACAATGGTACCTTAGTCCCCCGAGCGGGTCGATGGGTCAATTCGGGGGGGGAGTGGGTGTGCATAGGTGGGGGCAGCCAGGCCCCGTCCGACCAGACTAGTACTAGTGCCACGTTGGTGATGATTCAAATGCCCTATGATGTCCCATGAAAGGTGTGAAATGACGGCGCAAACCGAAACCGTAGGTCGTCGGGTGGACTTAAGGGTTAACGTCATGCAGAGTCTGAGCTGGAATGTGTCTTGTCTGCGTCAATTGACTCGTGAGAAAAAGTGAGTGTATTTTTTTTTTCCACAGAAGGCAGAAGCATGGCCAGTGTAACCTCAAGACGGACAGAGCCGTCGGCATGGTCCGGGATGCAAAGGGGATTGGACAGCAGCACCCCCTCGAGTCAACCGGGATGATGCAGATGGTGTGTATCGCAACCGGGGAATGAGAGGGCGCGATGGGGGCACGTGCTGCAACGCCGGCCGGAGAGAGGCCAAGCTTTCTTGGCACCACGTGCCCCAGGCTGCCTTGGCTGTTTGACCCTTTCGGGTCAACCATGAGAATTATCTCGTATTCTGTTGCTTGTCTGGCCTTGTCTATCTTGTCCCGGCTTGTCATTTCTTTTTTCATTTTGACTTTTCTCTGTTCCTTTTCTTGGTCCGATCGTGTTAGGAAGTTCAGAAACAACGCATCGGAAATTAATCTCATGGTGGTCGGACCTCCGTGAACCCCTTGGTCCACTCCCAGCCCAGATTGAATCCCTCGTGCGCATCATGCTGTTTCTCTTACGCCCGTTCATTTTAGACTGCAGTTCTTGTCCAACGACGGAGGCGCCGTCATTGGCTGAGACAGAACAGTGCGTGTGAGATGTGTGTCAGAATGTCCATGTTCGCTCCTATTGAACCCCTCTGCACCAGCCAATTATCAGGAAGATGATTCTTGTCCGACTCATATTGCTGCCAAGCTGGATGGCTTGATTCCGGCTTGGCTTGAACCAGAGTTCACCTGGACCTGCTATCATGGCTTTTCCTCGTAGTCAGAGGCCAGGCCGGAATCTGCTATCGTTCACGTGCTCCAATTCACCTCAATTTCTTGGCTACATCCGTGAAAGTAAGGATATTCGGCTGATTCACACCGAGCAGAATGAGTGATGCTGGTCACAGTGTTCAGTAAGTGTTTATACCGCCTAGCTCGATTTTCACATTCTTTGTGGAAAAATTATCCTGTTCGGAAACTCATTGTTCGTCTAGATTTGTTTCCTTTTTGTCAAATTCATTCAACTCAGTATGACATTCGAAACACGCCAGCAATGTAGATCTTCGCTTGGTTGGCTACAGACGACACAAGCCCAAGCCCTCGATTATTTTTACCTCATCGAGTTCGCGCTCAGCAGAGCAACAAGTCTCCTTAATGGCTTGCCCAGCAGCATCAAGACATCCCACCAACAACCCCCCGGTCATCACTTCAACGAACCATTTTTACCACTCCGAACGAATACCCTGCATCTGATCCACAGGTGGAGATTCTCAATCCCAATTACCTGTCAGGCGTTCTTAAGAAATACATTGACCTCCCCACCCGGCTAGCTTGAACTTCACCATTATAGTGCCCTGCAACACCCCTGGCTTAAAAAGCAGCAGGCGGCCAGGATCCGACGATCAGCATTTTGTTTGGTTGGTTACTTTGGTGCATCTAGAATCTTGTCGTTTTCCAGTCGGCTCGCCCGAATACTTACCCAGCTGACCCGCCCAAGCCAACAGCACGTACAGCAGGCCATCGGCTATCCCCACTAGTGGGCCTTGCCAACATTCGCCACACGCGTAAGCAAGCCTATGCACTAATATCAGGCTACTCATACAGCAGCTGTTGCTGAAAGTTCGAATGCCTGTAAACAATCTTTGTCCGGCCATTGTTCCAGATCATTACTCCCGATTTCCCTTGCAAAGTGATTAAGATAATACTAGAACTTTATTCTATCCATCTTGTTTCTCTTTCCATATGTCTATGCAGAGGAAGATGTCTTCTGGAAATATTATCATTTCTTTGTGCCCCCGTGAGGCAGCTTATGCGGTTTTTCTTTGGTGTCATCGTCATTTGAGTAATGGATCCGCCACTTCCGAGACCTCTCTGGACGAGGAGCAGTTCAAATGCAGGGAATACCTTGACGCCTATAGTAGACCTTCTATGATTGTGCGTCTAGCCACATTTACGTCTGTAATTCCAGAGAAAACGAATAACGAATACATTTTCGCCACAGGCTATAGTGAAATCGTTACTTTTAGGTCATCCGCAGCGTCGTCTCTCATAATACATACAGCTGAGAATACTGAGTACTAAGAAGCCACATACGCTTATTTTTGATTTGATTTGATTTGCCCCTTGTCGTTTTCGCCGTCGATGACGGCAAAGACTCGCACAAGGTTTCTCATAACCAAACCCGACAATTCCGGTTGACCACATCTACTTGCCGATCTCACATATCAATATCGACAATTCATACCATTGTCGGAAGTAATGTGGTGTCGATGGCTGTCCACATCACATTTAATGTCCGCGGAATTTGTACTCTATAGGGAGTCTCAACATCATGCGAAACAACGCCTCTCCGTCGATGCAACTTACCTTGCATTGTTTTCGGGGCAACTATCACCTTGTGCAACATACCTTACCATGGAACCCCTTGCGCAGCCCCATCTGTCATTCTCAATGCGGAAGGTCAGCATGCTTCAGCTTCGGCTCGTGCGGATGTCTCCGCAACTGTCTGTTTTCTCTTCAAATTTCAAATCACAGCCGAGAATGCTATGCGATGGCGTTTGATCGGCTTAATGCAAGTGTCAGACTACACTCAAGTACAGCATTGCAGATCGATGCTTTCTGTTACATATTCGCTTTGAGGCTCTTGCCGACGCAATGCCATTGCAAACTGCAGAAACGTCCGACAGACTACACTGGCGCGTAGACGATCCTGGCAACAACAAACTTTCTGGAAAAAGTTTAAAAGTGGAACAATCCACCATCGAGTCAAGTGCCAACTTTAAAACCCTATATGACAGCTTATCAAAGAAGGGATTTCCTTGTCCGGATAATGTATCCGCAGTGCTTTACTGCCGGTTACTTTGAGCTATGCAACCTTATGATGGCAGCCTCTCCGCACAGGAAGTCCTTGACGTAAACACCATGGCTCTAACCTTATTGGCGTAGACTTAGCATTCAGAATGTGCGAGTTATTTATGTTCATTTCTCCCAGCGAGGAGATTTTTTCTCGGCTTGGTCAAGACAGTCGGCTGGTCATTCAAGCTGTCGGGATTCCGACGGTGACTCGAGTCAAGATGCTTTTGGAATCTTGCTGGACAGCCCTTGTCCATTTCTTCAGCTTCCAATCTTTGTTTGCGTCCCAGCAGTCTCCACTTCTACCCGATGGAGGACTCGAATATCCACTTTCGCCTGGCGGGGAAGTGAATTATCCATCCCCAACTGATTCAACGGCCCAGCAGCCGACACCCACAAAGATACTAAAGTTCAAACCTATTGACGCATCGATTGAGTGTGAGTATGAAGGGCTGAGTGATACATACGTTGCTCTACCTAGAGGTGATCAGAGGACTTGGCTCAAACCTAAACCTAATTTCAATGGTACAACCTACGATATTCACACGAACTATGAGACGACATGGCCCAAGGGCAAAGTTCGGGATGTAGGTGATGCTCTGTCTCATGTGTTCAGGGAGCATTCGAGTGACACATTCTACAGTACAGCTTTACAGTTACCGAGTCGGGTGAGCTGGAACCTGATGGTGTCAAAAAGGAGGCGGGAAAGTACTTCGAAGGGGAATATCCTGGTCGTCGGATTGGTAGGCATCCTCCTTGAAGAGACTTTAAGCTGCCGGGACTGATGTGCATTCGTAGAGGCGTGTTGGGGCGATACTGTCCGTAAGTGTTGCCATGTCTTTGTATAGGCATAATACCATGCTGACGATGATTAGGTGTGCATGTCAAGAATAGCCTGCCGTGGAATGGGACTGCAATCCATATGCATGGGATCCGCATGTTCGAAACTGGGTTTTCCGATGGCGTCCCAGGCGTCACCCAGTGTCCTATTGCTCAAAATGATACCTACACTTATGAGTTTACCGCAACTCAGTATGGCACAACGTGGTATCATAGCCACTATAGTCTCCAATACACGGATGGCCTGCTTGGCCCATTGACCATTTACGGGCCTGCGTCGGTTGTAGACTACGATGATGCCCTTGAACCTTTGATGCTGGCGGACCGCATTCACCAGGGTGCCTTCGGGAGGTGGACTTGGGTGACGGTGGAGAATCACAACCCACCAATTCCCATGGATACCATTCTTATCAATGATCACGGTGGGTAGATGAAGCCTTGTGATCTTATTGGGGTGATAATAATGCATCACAGGCAGTGCGGCTGGCAAATTTCAGAACCTAAGATACAGGACAAAGAAAGTCACTAAGGTGAACTAAACTCTTCACTTGGATAAATGAACACGCATTCATCCTAATGGGTTTTACAGGGCAAGAAATACCTCCTTCGACTGATCAATGCGTCCACCGATACGGCTTTCATTTTCAGTATCGATCAGCATAAGATGACAGTCATCGGAACAGATTTGGTGCCAATCACTCCTTATCTAAAGGACACACTATATATTGGTATTGGTAAGTTCTGCAGAGCGATATTCTCACATTTCCATTTCTCACAGCCGGTCTAGGCCAGCGGTACCATGTAATTGTGGAAGCCGATGCCATAGATGAGTGCCGGAATTACTGGATTCGGACTCAGCCTGCCACTGGTTGTCACAATTTCAACTTCGAACCAAATGAGAGGCAGGGTATTTTCGTTTACAATGAGGATAATCACGATGATCCCATATCCACTCCATATGTACCCCCATACAACGGAGACTGTCGGGACGAGGAGCACAAGGTGTTGAGGCCCGTTGTCGAATGGCAAGTGCCCCCGCCAACCCCAGACCAACTAAGGAAGGTTCAGTCACCCTGGATGGTGTTAAAGCAAGATAACTTCACAATGCCGGACGAAGCTGGACATAATGGTACAAACGACCCGAAATGGAGCGCATGGCAGATTCACGATGATCCTGCCTGGGTAAATTACAAAGACCTGACAATCAATCACCTCAACGGATCACACACGTGGCCAGCCAACGCTGCGTTATTTGAAATAAGAAGAAATGAAAGCAACTGGGCATACATGGTGATAGACGGCGCGCATCAACCGAAAGAATCAGGAACCCCCTTGGGAGAAAGAACGGTTCCTGCCGCACACCCTGTAAGTGCTTCAATTATAGTCATCCTTCTTTCCGCTGAAGCTGCTATATAATTTCTCTCATGGGTTTGTCGCTAATATAATGCCATATTAGATGCATCTGCATGGTCATGACTTTGCTCTGCTGAAGCAATCATACACCAAACTCGACGACAAATTATTCGATGGAAATCATACCGCGGATTTGCAGAAGTTTATAGAGACTGAACTAGAGTATAACAATCCGGCACGTCGCGACGTTGTCTTGTTACCCAAAGGTGGGTATATAGTGATTGCGTTCAAGGTTGATAACCCGGGCGCTTGGCTGCTCCATTGCCACATTGCCTGGCATGCTTCCGGTGGACTGGCTTTGCAGATTCTCGAGGATAGAGAGAAGTTCCAGGAGATAATGAAACGCAAGAATGCGGATAATCAGACTGCAGAAGATCAGAAAAACAACGGGTGCAAGAATTGGGCGACGTGGTATGATAACAAGGCGAACCGCTGGGGAAACGGAACAGGACGATTCCAAGATGACTCTGGTGTTTAAGTTGCCGCCTATCTTCCATGGTAAGCATGCAAGAGGGGAATGGCGGCATGATCTGTCCATGGTGCGCTCGTTTGAATATATAGCAGGATGGTAAAATTTCTTGTTCCTCGCTATAACGACAAATATTGGCTATCTGTCGAAAGGGTGGGTATTATGGAAGGAGAATAGTTAGCCAGAGACTGAGCCAGAGGCTGCAGATGCTACTGGTAATGTCCATGTGTGCCGCACTATTTTAGGTACACACCAGCATAGGATCTTTTGTATCCAGTCATTTACGCTACTACTTCAATAGCATAATCCATTCGTTTCACTACTGAACCCTTCTTCTCTATCCCAAATTTATGATGATCATGCACTATTATGGAGCTAAGAGCAACCTTTCCCACTCAGACGAAGTATAATAGACTAGAAGCTTGATTAACAGGGCGTGGCCAAATGCCTTTGTCATACCCTATTTATTACATGTGTAGAGCCATATGGTTCAGCATGGTTATACCACATACTGCCTAAGCAGTCCTATAAACGTGAGTTGTACACCCTTTCCACTCTTCATAGGCAAGAGAATTACTCGACTTGATTCCTTATTCCCACAAGCAGTATGAATTGCTAAGCGATATTTACTATAAATCATATGGAAACTTTACAGAAACCATTTACCTACCTCCTACACACCCCCCATATCCCCCGCACCAACCATAGCATCCCTAACAATCTCCCTCTCCGCTCTAGCCCCCGCATCCCCAAACAACCCATCAATCTCCTCCAACGTCTTCCCACTCGTCTCCGGCACCAACAGCACCGCCCACACCCCAGCCAACGTACACATCACCGCAAAGAACACATATGTCCTGTACCCGATATCCGACAACATAGAAGGGGTCACCACTCCGATAATAAAATCCGACAACCAGATAGTACACGTCGCCAACGCGACGCCCTTCGACCGGGACGCATTAGGAAACACCTCTGCCGGAAGCGCCCATCCCAACGGGGAATACGACACGCCGTAGATGAGAATGAACACGAAGGCCATGGCGACGCACCCCCAGCCTGCTGCCACATGGCTTGCCCAATTATCTGAGTACAACCCGGATAAAACAGCAATAATCATGTACGCTATGGCCATGCCAAACGCGCCATAGATAGCTAGTGCGCGTCGCCCGACCCCCTCGATAATGAACGCACAAAACACTGCTGCCACGGCTTGAATAATGTTGAATACGCCGGATAAGATGGTGGACATGCTATCCGATTGTCCCAGGGATTGAAAAAGTGTGGGCGCGTAGTAAATAAACGCGTTGATACCCGAGAACTGTTGAAAGAACCCCACGCCGCAGGCCACGGCGACGCGTTTCCAGGTGCCTCGGGAGAAAAGGTCCAGCCAGGAGAAGAGCTCGAGTTTGAGACCTGTGGCGCCGGGGTGGCGGCGGTCTTGGACTATACGCTGGTAGGTGACTTCGGAGACGATGGTGCGGAATTCGGCTTGGATGCGGGGGTCTGTGCGTGGGAGGCCGCGGAGTTTGGAGAGGCTGGAGAGACAGTCGTCTTGGCGGTCGACGAGGGCGAGCCAGCGCGGGGAGTAGGGGTAGAAGTGAATGCCGATGCCGAGGAGGGTGGCGGTCACCATTTGGAGGCCGAAGGGGAGGCGGAAGGAGGCTTCGCTGGGGATGTAGCGGGTGGCGTAGGTGATCCAGTAGGCGATGACGACGCCGAGTGTGATGGAGATGGATTCGAGTACGAGGAGGATTCCGCGGAGTTCGGGGGGTGAGGTTTCGGAGATGTATAGGGGTGCACCCTCCAGAGGGGTTTAGGGTTAGTATGTAGATAGGTAAGGGGAATGATTGGGGGCGGCAGGGGAGGGAGGGTACGTACCATGGCCAGAGTGCCCACTCCTATACCGCCGATGAAGCGGCCAGCAACTAGCATGTCGTAGTTCACGGCTGCAGTCTGCAAGATAGCGCCGATGTCGAAGATAACCACAACAACTGTGATGGCCCATTTCCTGGAGATGCGATCGGCTAGATAGGACATGAAGAGACAGCCGACAAAGGCACCTAGCAGCAACATTCCTGTCATGAGACCCTTTCCGAAAGCAGTTTCAGAACGAGGATACACGGCATGGAATTGATCCATCACGTTGATGATAGAGATCACACCCATGTCATACCCCATGGAGAAGCCGCCCAGCGAGGCCAGAGTCGCCGACCCAAAGACATACCACGAGCGGAAGAGACCGCGGATGCCGCCCACGCCATAGGCCAGATCAGAGGTCGACTCGATCGCACCCACATTCTCATCATGCTCGGCAGTTGCGAGGTCTTTCTTCAATTGGATTGATGATCGGTCGGGTGTATCATTGTCTGCCATGATAGCAGGAGACTAAAATGCAATGTATGTGCTACTAGTGAATGGGGGGGTGTGGATCAGCTGAGAAGCAACCCACCATCCCATACCCAGAAGGGCGTAGGCATATTTATACCGGAGTCAATTGCCGATCCATATAGGGTTGCGGCTAGTTGAATATGCATTCGCCGATTAAGTTGAAGCTGGACTCCCGGGGGGGAATATGGGGTAACTTTCCCGGTCTGGAATGACTGTAATGTACCCCGGATTTCCCCGCATCCAATGCCCGGGACGAACCGCCCACGTCGCATGATTGGTGGGTGATTGGTTGCATGACATCCTTTGGAGTCTAATCGGGGCTGGTCCAACGAATGCGGGCAAGAATTCTGCTTCGGTCAAGGCGGGTAATCTTGCCCTTTCCTTGGGTTGGCCTGAGCTGATGAGGTCATCGCACAGGTCTCGTGCTCGTATAGGTGGATATTGCGGCCATTTTATCCTCATCTGACCTGTTCACTCGACTCTCTGCCGTCTGGGCGGTGTTTGAGCGGGAATCTCTACTGGTTTCAGCTACTGGCTATTCTCTACGCATTGGATTCTTGATCAGTGGTATTACATTTAAGCATATAATAGCCTCTTTCGAAGAAGGATACGGCAACTGGAAGGAGAGGTGCATACACGGCAGTCAGTAGAGTTCGATCCGGGTCATGTGACCTCGTTGTGTCTTGACTGCTTCTCAGTCTGTGCCCTCGTTGCTCCCATAGCAATGATTCGCCTCAAACACATTATTGATTATGCCGCCATATTGTAATCTGGTGATTTATTTGCAGCTTCACTTGGTTGTCTGCTGTAAGGCAGGCAGAAAATAGAGGGGAAAGAACAGAATGAATGTGAGTTGTTGAACAAGAAGAGACAAAAGCAACGACGACTCAGGCTGTGGAAAAGCAAATGCCGTTCGTAACACGGGAAAAGCAATGTCGGAACATGAAATGGTTCCAACCAAGGTTGACCAGAACTCTACAGCTTTGACCCCCACTGGAAGTTTTACCCTCCAAGCACCTAATCTTTGATAAGATAAACATCAAATTGGTCAAATCTGATATCTTTAATCTGCCCCTATTTTCCATCAGCACGCCTGTCAGACTAACTGCATGCGGTGTAGCCTGCATGTTTCTTTCCTAGCCAAGCGCCACGTGACTGCTTTCTCATGAATCAGCCACTCACGTGTCAGGGCCGATTATCGCCTCATCATGAAACAGTCATCGCCGCCATTTCAACATTCCTTCTCTCATTGAGTCTCTCGTTTATTCTCTATCGTGCTGCTAACATGTCTGCTATGCACCATTCCATTGATTGACCTCACGAATAATGCTGGCAATATGCGTCTTTCTCCCTCTACCCATGTGAGGGATACGGTAATTGGTCCCCTGAGATCGAGGCGGGGTTGCAAAACCTGCAAGTAGGTGCTTCCAGACTATATCCCCGCAACATAAGCTTACAACTATCATTTCCAGGGCTCGGAAAGTCAAGTGTGGACAGGAAAAGCCAAGTTGTCTGCGATGCAGCAAGACAGGCCGTAACTGCGAATATGAAGGCCCAAATCTAGGCACGTTTTCCTCCACACCTGCGACCTTTTCAATCCTCGACAAGCCACTGTCCTCGGCACCGGATACAGTCTGGAAGGAGCGTCGCGCATTTGCCTATTACTTCCAACATATTGCCCTGTTCATCGGCGGGGGTCTAGAAGTTGACTTCTGGAGTACCATCGTTCCCCAAATATGCCGCAGCGAACCCGCCGTGTGGGATGCCATCATCTCCCTGAGCACCCTGTTTGAAAGCCCAGAGCCATGTCCAGATATAGCCTTTCAACGTCAGAGAGATGTCGTTCTCCTCAATCAGTACCATCGAGACGCCATCAGCTGGTATTCCCGCTCAATGGCCCAAGTCCGTCAGCGACTGGACCGCGGCGACGGGGATGTCCTGGTCGGACTGGTCAGCTGTATACTCTTCATGTGCATTGAAGGTTTTCAGGGTGGTGCAGCACAAGCTACCCTGCTTTACTGTCAAGGCGTGCAGCTTATCGTCACATTGCGTGCTCAGATCGCTGCTGGGGTCGTATCGTCATCCAAAACTGCATGGTTGGAGGATATCATCGTTCCGATCTTCATTCGTCTTGGGGCGACGGCGCTCAACTTTTCCGCTGTTCCGGTCGGCGCTTTGCTACCCGATGCTGAGCATACCTTGACACAGGGGTTTTCCTCCCTCAAATCTGCTCGCGAAGCCCTCGTTCTCTTGCTTGCAGAGGCTCAGCTCTTCCAGCGTGTCTGCCTGCCATATTTCCTAAAGCCTGAAGGATTTCATCCACCTCGCGACTTAATCAACCAACGCCTCGCTCTATTCCGTAGACTAAAGGTGTGGTACGCTGCGTTCGCGGACTTGATGGAAACCTTGCATATGAAAGGGTCTTTATCACCGCAGCAAATAAGCACTGGCGCCCTCCTTCTCGCTTATCACGAGATGCTATACGTAATGATCGGCACATCCACATGTCAGTTGGAGACCGCAAACGACGCATACCTTCCGCAATTTCAAAACATAGTGGACCAGTCTCAAGTCGCGCTGGCTGCTTCGGCTCGATCAGACGGATCCCAACCTCCACTTTCGCTTGAACTTGGCATCTCGATTCCCCTTTGGTTCACGAGTCTGAGATGCCGAGAACCCAAACTTCGACAAACAGCATTAAGCCTAGCAGGCCAAGCACCGGCAGTGCAGGCATTCTACAAGGTTATTACTGGGGCAAGGTGGTCGCAAACAATCATAACAATAGAGGAAGTTTGCGCAGTGGCTATGAAGTCATCTGAAGGACTGCCAGAGTCGACGAGTCAATTGCAATACCCATACTGTCAGGACTTTGGCAGCAGCACAGCCGGTTCGGATCTCGGAAGTCAACCAAGCACACCAGGACTAGAATTTGTCGCCAGCCCATATTCGGTGGATTCGGATGTGGATACCGGGACAGCAGTCACAGAACTTGTCCCGGAAGAGGCACGCATCAGACCCATAAACCTATTCCGCGTCCAAGACGGCTTCCCTCCAGGAACCACGGAGGAAGAAATTGCAAAATGGAGCCCATATCGTGATCAAAGCTTTATGCATTATTTGCGGAATGAGCGTGATCCAATCACTGGTGCTTGGAAGATTGCCCATGGGTTCACTCCAATTGATTACTGATAATAATACCGACTCATTTGTATGATGAGAAAAGGCTCGGATGCCCGATTTAGATGCTTATAGCTGTTATATATTTCCGGTGTTAATTAATTGGGCTGATTACTCATGTCATCAGATCTTCCTGTAGCTACTATTACGCAGATGATGGCAAATTCGGCTGGACTAGTACATCCATCTCGTAATCCTACGATATTACGTCTTCGGAAATCAAGCAAACCAAGATTTCTAGTCTGCATTGGCCCCTGCGGAGTCTTGCCTTGATCGGGATGTTAATAGCATGCAGCCCATTGACAGATCCGAGTCCCTGAAGGATAATAGCGAACCGAGCCTATCAGGATATTGTAGATGTGGGCTCGGGTGGATATGCCTTCACCCCCACACATCATTCTGGCGCACGGTGCACTCAATATTCCATCCCATCTCCACTCGCCCCCGCCCATTCCCCGCATTATACTTGAGCAAGATCGGGCCATCCAGCAGGTAAAGTAATGATGGTGCGAATGACTCGGATACAACGGATCACAACAATTAGCCTGATGCCGGTCAAGCATACTGGCTAAAGCAAGATACCTCTGGGCTATAAAGCTGCAATGTGTGCCGCTGAACCCAGTCCGACTGATTCTAAGCCATGAGCTTCATTGCTTAGTGGGACAGCAGAATGTTTGTTTCTCTGAATGTTCTGGTGGCACCAGCTTTGTTTATTGCATCGGGCGTTGCCACCAGTGGGCTGACTTTCGCTCGTGCTGCAGGCAACACACGGAGCGATGATACTACAGTCTTCTTCGTAAATGATGGCAACTGGACATCTCATGGAACCAAGCCTAGCGCCCTATTCATCAACACGCCCTCGAGTTATGCTGATGCCAATGCGGTGTGTGCAGCACAGAATGAGGCATTGCTGAGCTGCGAGGAATATGCCAACTACGAGAACCTATTCAGTTACCAGCAATACCTCGGTAGAATCACTACTGATCAGCTGTTCTGGTCATCATGCTCTTCCTCGTCTCCAACTTCATGGCGCGGTGTCGTTCAGAGCAGCACGAATTCGTCCTCCAACCTTCCCTTTTTGTGCACCAACAGCGCCCCTCTTGTTGAGAAAGTAGACACGGATTACTCTGATTTCCCTCGTGTAAATGTCACTTACAACGGTACGACTTTCGAGGGCATGAGGGACCACATGGCATTCCGCTTCGCTGGCATTCGCTTTGCTCAGCCCCCGACGGGGGATCTACGATTCCAGCCGGCACAGCCGTGGAATCATACTATTCCGTATGTGAACGCCACGAGTTACGGACCGGCCTGTTTGCAGTTTGGTTACTTTGATGGCAACTCATATGGTCTGAGTATGTTACCCACCCAGACATTGTTAACATGGTTGCTTACTTGTCAGACCCTTGGGGAAATAGTGAAGACTGTCTGTTCCTCAACATCTGGACGCCACATATCCCGTCAAGCGACTCCTTGGATCCTGACAATGGGAAGCCCGTGATGGTTTGGATCTATGGTGGTGGGGATACCCAAGGCTCGGCCGCTGACTCCACTTTTGATGGGGCTAGTCTTGCGTCTCGCTCTGATGTTGTGGTTGTCTCGTTTAACGTATGTAGAAATTTCTCAATACTCAATTTTCCTTTCGCTAACTCAAACCCAGTACCGGGTCAACATATTCGGCCTTTTAGCTCTAAACGATGGAGAGCTCAACGGCAACTACATGATGACAGATAAGATTCAAGCATTGCGCTGGATTAGGCAAAACATCGCTGGATTCGGGGGCAATGCGAAGAACGTGACCATTTTCGGTCAATCCGCCGGTGGATCATCAGTCAATGATCTGATTACATGCCCCGCAATTATTGGCGAAGACCTCTTTCAAAATGGTATCGTCCAGTCGGGAAAGTCAAATGTCGCTACTGCCGAAGTCGCTGCAGCTTACGCCCAACCTTACATTGAGAAATTCTGTAACGGCACAACCACGCAGCGGGCTTCTTGCCTGCGGTCATTACCTGCAGAGACCCTTCTTGATATCAGCAACAACAGTATCAGTTGGTACACCGTCATCGACGGTCACTACTCAGCCGACTACACTCAAGCTCGATATGCACTCGGAGCACAGTACATCAACTCAGTCAACGTCCTAACGGGCAACATGCTCGAAGAATACCAGTCGCTCGCAACCACAACTCTCTGGCCTAGCATGAGCAACTTCAGCGAGGCATTAGAGATCCTCATCAACGATGCCGCAATCAACGAAGCCCAAGCAGAAGCGGCCCTCAACGCAGGACTCTACACAATCACCAACAACACGGTCTATAACGGCAGCACAACATACACCTCGGTCTACAATGCCTCAGTCCACCTTGGTACTGAAGGCCAGCTATACTGCGACGGCACACTCCTGCAATGGATCGCCGCTGCCTCCTGGGCCTTCAAGTCCCACTGGTTCTACATTCACAATCGAGGCTACGCACTCAGCTACTACGACTTTTACGACCTGTGTACCTTCCCCGTAGGAAAGCCAGATACTCCATACTACCGCTGCCACAGTAGCGATCTGTACGAGGTCTTTGGCACATACTATTTCTTCGATCAGCCAGTGCGTGTGCCCGAGGATATTTACTACACCAACGCGATCCAGGATATGTGGGGTGCTTTTGCCCGGACTGGAAACCCGAATGTCGATCCGGCGTACCTGAAGGCGCGATCGTACGATTCGACGATTGACTTTTTCTTTGGCTTCGAGTGGCCGCAGTTTACGGTGACTAGTCCGAGGGTTGCGTCATTGCAGTACCCGGGGCCGCAGGTGTCTTCGCTGCCGTATCAGGAGCATTGTGAGGTGCTGTTGCCATATGTGACGAATCCGAGGGCTCCTAGTGCGAGTGCTCAGTAAGACTCATTATATAAGTACTAGTTAGGCCGCATACAGGTAGCCAGTGTATTAAATAACTTGCGAGGATCAGCTGACTGTGGCTGGTCGGCTGGTTGTTATCATCATCACGTGCGCAAGAGGTCACTGTCCCCTGCTGTATTAGGCCCCCTTGGCTTCACAGGCACTTTCCAACTCCCTCATCACTGCTGAGTACATTCAGCACCCATTCCATCCAAGATATGGATATCTTCACACGTGCCCAAACGAGCTTTCTCTCCTGGAAACATGGAACACCACTCCCATCTGGGGCCGGCGCCTCCCCAAAGTTCCAGTCCTGGCATACTTTTGACTCTGTCCAAAGTTGGATTACCACTCGCTCCGACATCGATACAAATACACCAGCAGACCCAGCTGGGGGTGCCGATACCTCAAGGCTTGTCCTGTTAACATGCAATATTGATGGAACGTCTCCTCAGACTGAGGAACGTGTTACAGAAATAATCACGTGTATTATCGGGTTAGATCCCCGACCGGATATCATTTTCCTCCAAGAAGTGTCAAAGCCAGCCCTCCAGCAAATCTTGAAAGACGAGCGGGTTCGCAAGCTCTGGCTTTCGAGCGAATGTGACGACACATCATGGGGCGATCAATCGTTTGCGGTAATGACCTTACTGTCTAGGGCACGCTTCACGACAAACGCAGCCATAGGACCAATTTGGAGGGTGAAATTCCCGAGTCACTTTGCTAGGGATGCTCTCTGCTGTGATATCTTCGTCCCTTCATCTAAAGACCATAGTCCAACACGGATACGTCTAGTAAATGTTCACCTAGACTCTTTGCCAATCAAACCTTCCCACCGACCCAAGCAGGTATCTATTGCTGCATCCCTCCTTCGCGTCGCAGGTCAAGGTCTAGTCGCAGGTGACTTCAATCCTGTCCTCGATGAGGACAACGGCCTTCTAGAAAAGAACGGCTTGGTGGATGCTTGGACAGCTCTTCGGCCCGGAGAACCTGGCTTAACTTGGGGCCTAGATGGCAAGCAACCATTCCTTCCCAATCGGCTTGATAAAATAGGTATACTCGGGCTGCGACCGCATGACATTAAGACAATAGAGCCGAAACCGATAAGCGGATCTTCTGACGATGAACCCTTATGGACTGATCATCATGCTTTGGTCTGTTCCTTTGGCTTGGTGGATGAGTGATCATCAATCATACTAGTCGCTTCAGTTGTGGAAAAACAAGCGATTTAAACAATAGTTGAGAATCATTATAGCTAATAAGAGGAAAAGAGTAATAACATAGCTACAAATGAGAAAAGAGGCAGCGAAATACATATTACTAAATCTATACTTGATTCTTTTGGGCAGGAAGCGTATGCTGCATGTAGCTAAGACGACATTTAGCTACTGATTTCCCCATATATAGCTTATGCCACACTATCTGTAGCAGCAAATCTGCAATGCGATCATCAATCTCCTGATAATCGCCAATTCGAATGCAGTGTATAACAGTCTGTTTAAGCGACAATCCCACTCACTACTTCAGCACACTCGCTACCACCCACCACCAACCCTACCCTTCCCTACCTAATTACCAACCAACCAACCCGTCCCGCAAACAATAGTCCCTCATGAATAAGATGAATAATATCTGATGCAATATCCGCGTAACAAACAGCCCCGATGATTGGCACCCACATGTTCGGGGGCGTCACCCGCACCCCATCCCCCAATAACACACCTTCAAGTATTGCCACAACCACGGTTCGTCTTCCCCGCTCCCCCCTCCCCCACGATGTCATACTCCACTAAAGCTATAATATAAATCGCCTCCACCCTCATCATATTCCTTAGCTATTCTTATCTCATCTGAACCGAATTATCAATACCCTGTTCACAAGAAACTAAGAAACAAAGAAAGATACCACAATGACCAGCGAACGCAGACCCTCCGGCGCATACCACCTCACCGGCTCACAGCTCGTCGAAAAAGTCGATGACCTCAGCTCTGGAGGCGGATGGGAAGAACTGAACCGTCGGGCTCATCACGCTGATACGGGTGAATCGCAGCAGCAACAGCAACAGCAGCAGCAGTCGGGTTTGAAGGCGCCTCCCGACAGGTCGCAGTCTTTTAGGCCATATAATCCTAGTCAAGGTGGGTTCATTCCCTTTTACGTGCTTGGTTTAGTTATGGTAGAAGAAAGGAAAGCTGACCTCAGTGATATGAACAGACCAAAGCGACGATCTGCTGCCGGATGAGTAGTGGTAGTAGTGGATGTAGTACATTGTCCGCGGTGGTGATTACGGCCGTGGTGGGAGTTTATTGTTGTTTGTATCCGAGCTGGATGTATGCGAGGGATTTGATGAAGTGGGTTACTTGTTGTAAAATTTGATGCAAATATTGTATAGCCGGATAATTGGGGGAGGGGGAAGTATCCGTGTTGATTATAATTATGATATGAAATAATGACTCTCGTTTGAATGATGATTTATTTTGATTCTTGGTGATGCTCCTTAGTACCCGGTATCTGTTAAGGTATTTAGTTTTGCAATTCTTCAACAATTAGTCAGTGTGGCCGAGTGGTTAAGGCGATAGACTAGAAATCTATTGGGTTCGCCCGCACAGGTTCGAGTCCTGTCGCTGACGTTTCTTTTTGGTTTTTTCAATCCCGCACATTTGGATGAAGAACTTTCTTTTTGCGTCACTTTAAAATATTTTTTTGGTCAAGTTATGGGTGTTAGTAGGCTCTACATGCCTTATGCATCATTTAGAATGTATTCTAAACATTTTACGTCGTAGAAATGCGTCATGCATAATTTGTTCTCTACTCTTCGGAAGAGCTACTGAAGATATATATAACCCTGCCGGACCATCCTCCCTCACAATTCAATGATTTCCCCCACCATCCCTCTGCTTCACCCTCTCCGACTCAAATGCAAGTCCCGCACGCTCTCTCAACACCCCATACATTGACGACGAATCCAACGCGCGTCCATTCTCCTCCCCATAACTCCGTGCCTCCCGGAGATGATCCAAAACCACCCGCGCAACGGGCAAATCGGTTCCCGCGCCCTCGGCACACCTCACTCCCAACGAGACATCTTTGATGGCCAAATTCACATCCGACCACGGTCGCTGACCCCGTTGAGGCAGATAAAACCCTCCCGTCATTCTCTTTGACATGGAGGTCAGCAGCGGACCATATTGCTCCTCAAGCAATCCCTCGAGAACATCACTTCCGAGACCGGACTTTTCCGCTAACACCTGTGCTTCGGCGACGAGCTCCATCATGCCGCCGATGAGGAAGTTCCTAACTATCAATTAGATATAGCCACAGAGGATTGGATGGCTAAGAAGGTCAGAACTCACCCCGTACACTTCAACAACGTAGACCTCGTAACATCCTCGCCCAACCTCATTATCTTCCTACCCATAACGCCCACAATGTACGGCTCCACCCGCTGCACGGCCGCATCCGCGCCCGCAACCACAAATAATAACTTGCCTTCTTGCGCGGTTGGCGTGGCCCCGAATACCGGTGATGCGATGTAGGTTGCTCCGTGTTCTCCAAGACGTTGCTTTGCCCAGGCGGACGTATCTGGATGGACGGTCGTGGTATCGACGATGAGTTTCTGGCGTAGGTGCTCTGGTTCCATTGTTGTCATGGTGTCGATGATTGATCGAACAGCAGTGTCATCAGTCACGGCGATGAAGCAGATTTCAGTGTTGGCGATGAGGTCGCCGATGTTAGTGTACTGCACACCCCCAATCTCATGGACGGGGAGTCCACGAGCTGCGGTTCGATTGTAGAATTTGAGAAATGGGGCGTTGATGTGCGATAGGTGAGCTTGGAGGTTAAGGGCCATGGCTTGGCCCATTGAGCCGAGACCTGAGATCTTAATACTTTGTTCATAGGGGGGATGATGGGTACTTACCGATCCATCCGAATCGGGGGTGGGTGTTGGTTGAAGGGTCCATGGTGGAGGATAGATTGGATGATGGGTGGAGGTTGGGCGGGAGATGTCGTATATTTGAAGTGCTCGGTAGCTCTAGTTTATGCCAAATCAGGTATTTTGACATGAGTCATTTGCATGGCCTAGAGCCTCGCTCCAGCATTAAAGCTGACGGACATCGAGGCAAGATTGGCATGTCATTCGTCCGAAAGGCGGGGGATCCACCAGATCGCGGGGTGATTTCCGATATCCTGTGCAGTGAGTTTTATAGCATAATGCACGCCGAGGTTTCCATCTAACTTGGAATTATACCAAATAGCTAAGAAGCGAAATGGTCGAGCGGTGGATATGAGACCCGATCGGAATCCAGTCTGTAATGTCCAGCTTGTGATAATCTCACACATTGTCCATGCGGGAGCTCGTCATATCTATCCCTAAGCTTAACTTTAATGCAAGGGATGAGGCATAGGATCGTAGCAAAAAGGCAATACCACATCTCATCTGCAGACCGCTACACTCGTTGGTAAGACTTCCATGCAGATTTTTCGATCTCAAAGAGATCCAAGCCCGATCATGCAACGACGGACCAATAACACAGCTACATTGCTCATCAGGTGAGGTCGGAGATGCATATCTAGCGCCGAGTACTGATTCTACTTCGGTTATACTCATGCGATAAGCTTTCCACGTCAGCGTTCAGCTTTCGCCTCTCGTCACGGAGTCGCCGATATGCGAGATGAGATCGTTTCCTACACTGTAGGCAATTTTTCCTGTGACCGTGTATGTATTGCTGTTAGGCATACTTACAAAGTCCAATAGGCCCACAGAGGATTCTGCAATAATAATTGTGTTGTCAAAGTAAGTGCTTATGCTGCGTTCATGCCTAATAGAACTATCCCCATAATGGCGACGATCTCGCATTTCTCTACTTTATGTGCTTATCCGACGAAATCTGAGCAATATGCTCCCTTATAGGCCACAATTGAGAGTGAACCAGCACGCCTGTTCCCTTTCCGACCGTACATCTGCATTTCTTCCACCACTACCCCCTATCAGCAATCCCACCGCAGTCATCCACCCTAGCATATCACCCCTAACCATCCAATCCTCCATGCCTTCCAATTATTGACCAATCAAGAAGTACAAGCCCCGTCAATGCACTGCAACCCGCCACCAGCCGGCACAGGACAGTTCCTGATCTTGGTCCAGAACGCCTCGGTCTCGCCGCCCTGGCCATCCACCATCGGAGCCACGGTGACCTGGCACTCCAACTTGAAATCATGATTAGCATCAGCAATAGAGTTCAGATATATACCACGTACCAGGTGTCCTCCATTGCACTCGCATGCTTTAGCACCCCAGCGGCTGCAGAATGTGCCGGGTATGCCACAGGCCTGGATCTGGTTGATGAAGAACCCGAAGGCGATAAAGAAGAGGAGGGATTTCATGACGGATTGGATCATTTGGTGTAGGGGTATATGAACGTAGAGAAGAGATACGTATGATGATTGCGTAGTTGCAGTTGGAGTTGCGAAGTGGTGCCTTTGATCTACACTGAAGATGACCACGCTAGAAAGGTAACACCGAGTCTAGTGATTTTGGTGTCAGATATAATAGTTATTTTCTAGGTAATAAAAAGAATAATGTGTTATTAATGAGGTGTTTCACTACATGACTTCTATACAACCTGCGTGGTGGTATAAACCCTGCCAGTGAATGCCTACTCTTCACTTCGAGGGAAACATAGCAAACTCATCCAGAATCATCTTTTTAGACAAGCAGGATAGAACCGATGATTAGGCTTTACTACCAGTAAATGTAATATTGGTAGTACCAGCCATCGGATCTAACACCGTGCCATCTGCACCATGCGCCACCGCTCTGCCTCCCCTGGTTCATTATCTCGCCACCAAGTACTCCCTGTAGGAATGGAATTCACACTCACAGTTCTGCTCAATTTGACCGTGATAACGGAGAAGCGCGTGACTGACCAATTATGTGTAAAGGCTAATAGTGACAAGTAAGATTTAGTTGGTGGTTCCGTTTGGTGAAACCGCGGATAAGGTAGTACACCAATGCGGGAATGAGAAGCGAAATGAGTTCTCTGGTCAAATTGAACTATTACTCGGTCGCTTATGAAAGGAATGATAAATATGCAGCGTTGATGGGATAGTTAATTGTGCACACACAGATTGAATGCTTATTTGTCAATGACCTTATTCATCTCAGTCTTTCAAGTATTTAAAACTTGGTAGATAATTCTGGTAGTAAACTGTCCTCCTCCGTCAGCACTCTTTTCACACTATACTGATAAGGGATTCTAATTGCTTTATTATGATGTCCATATTGGCTTATTTGCTAAATAATTCGATAGTAAAATACACTATGTTGATCATAGATGTCAGAGATATCAGAGATGAAAGAATGGACGTGATGGAACGAAAATGAAAACATTGCATGAAGATTATCGTTCATGTCAGAATATTCCGATATGAAAACCAATGCAAAGAACTGATGAAAAATAAAAGACCTAAGAGGAAAGATGAAAAAAATTGCGGAATGTGTACGAGTTTATCAATATTCAATCGAAGCGAAAATTTCAGGAGAGCAAGGGCAAAGGTATGTAAAGAAAAGTCTGTCGGGCCTTATTTCATTTATAAATACCAGTTCGAAGAACAGTTTGATCACTTCATGTCCTCATCCATGTCAAAGTCGTTCAATGGTGGGTCCGGCCTGGTATAACTGGTGGGCATATGCGGATAGCTGCCAGACTCAAAGGTGAGATATCTATCGATGTCTTCTTGGGAGAACCCTAAAGGGTCATTTACACTCGCTTCGAAAGTGGGATTTAAGCCCGAGTAGACCATGCCTGTTGGAAACGGCGGCCCGAGTGCAGTGTTCCACAAATCATCGGAAGAAATATGCTCTTCTGAAGGCAGTGCAGGCAGTTCATTGGAGGTATGCCCGGATACATAACGATTTGGTAAGTTGTGTGGCAACAAGTCCAACATATCGGGATCGTTGTCAAAAGGGATTCTGGGATTCTGAGATGATAGAACAAGGGAAGGATTGACATTAATGGTGTCATTGGCCAAATCCAGAGATTTGGAGGGTGCATTGTCTGCCTTGGCCGCAGAAGTACGACGGTATTTGAGTGTCACGATCTTACTCTGTGGTTCTTCAGCGTCATTGGGGTATTCGAGGAATTTTGCACCAGGAACCAAAAGCTCATCGGAACTGGCCACGCTGCTGCGCTTGTCGTCGTCATCGCTTTCACTCTTCTCAGACTCTGAAGAGCTCTCCTCAACTTTGACCGCCGACTTTCTTCTTTTTCGCAGTCTTCGTGATCTTGGAGGCCTTCCTTGGACCCAGTCTTCGTCCGATGATGTATTCTGGTCTCGAGGTTTACCACGGGACCCAGAGCCATTGTTCTTACTCGAGCTACCCTTCGGCTTTGATTCCTCGTCTGCGACGCTCTTTATGGGCGTTTCTTCAGACTTGGGTATAGCAGTAGCACCACGTCGAAGGGGAGGGGGGACAGCCTTGTCTGCAGAGACTCGACGACTGCGAAGCTTTGCAAGGTGCTGTACGATTGCGCCCTCCGTCACATTATGACCCATGGTATTAGCGACATCGGCCCAAGGAATTTTGATAGATTTTGTATTACAAACGGACTGGACAGTCAATAAAAGGAGCTCGTTCAGGTTTTCTATACTTGTTAGCCTCGGTTAAACAAGTTCCCCACAAGATAGGATTATCGAAGAAGAGATAGGGGACATACCGTCCCAGCGGACCAAAGTCCGTTTCTTTGGCCTGTTCGAAGCCTTCCTCGGAGTTGCCATTATACTATGTAAGGAAGAGTCTCTACCCGATTGTGAATTGAACCTTGGATTAAATGACCTAAGTCAGTTCTATTTTAGATCTGAGAGGGGACTGGTAATCCTGTAACGCGTGGCCGGTATAAAGGATTCAGGTGAGTTTGGGTGAAGTGAGACAAGAATAAAGTGAAGTTTCTCATTCTACTTACTTTGATTTGAAATGGGTTGTTAGTCCTGGACAGATAGTAGATAGCCTGTCAGGCAGGCTTGCGTACTGTTACTCGCCAAAGTGAGCCTTCTTTGACAGTGACTGGGTCAAGAATATGTACACTGCGGGTGAGAGGGGAAACCAAGGTGGGAAGAAAGAGACGCGTAGTTGTAAACACTGAGCAGTGAAGATCAGTGAATACTCTTCAAAGCATGTGAGCCAATGAGAGCGCTTTAGTGTCGGTGCTGATGTTGAGTGAGGGCTCTAAATTGTGATAGTGATCGAATGGGTAAACCATATTGTGCTGCCTGTATAGAAAGCCCATCTGCTTAATTGCCTAAACTGTCCTGGATGAAATCATTCACCGCGGCTTGTTCTAGCATAATTTTCCTAAAATGGAAAAGACATACTATTGTATTGCTCGAAGGAATAGCAGCTCTATACTGTACGGGAGAAGGATAAACCTCCCATTGAAACTAATGATTTAACAAGCAGACAAAGTACTAACTGCAGCTTTTGGTTGGCCCCAGAGAAGTGCATTCTACACGCATTCATGCTCCTGCCATATAACACACTGTTGTCAGGTGATGGATATGCTCTATGATCATCAAGTGGCTTGCATCATCTTTGTGATCTGGAAGGCTAACACTAATGGGACGATTCAATATACTTACAAATATTCAAAGAATACAGTTATCAGAATGGCATTGTATGTTGATGCTCAGTAATAATGGCTTCAATAGTAGCAGCGGGAGCAGTAAGACATGGCTATGGTGTTTTTCGCACCGTCTACAATTATGAAAAGGGCAATTGCGAACCCAAATACAACCCCCAAACACTACTAAGTCCATAGCCAAATTCATGAATCCTAGCAGCAGGCATCAATCCTTCACCGTCCACAACACCTCTCCAACCTCAACTCCAACCTCCACCCACGCGTTCCTCACCAATCCCCCAGCCTCTTCCCCAAACATCGCCTCCGCAATATCCACCGTCACACACGCAAACCTCTCAAAGCTACAATTCGGCTCAACTCTCGGATCAGTTAACGCTTGATACCAAACCACCGCAGCTCTTTCCCAACTCCGTCCGCCGAAGCCCACAGCACAAAGATAAAACGCATGACTCGGAATGCCCGAATTCCAATGCACACCCCCATTATCCTTCTCCGTACACACAAACCCCCTCATATGGCTCGGCTGCCCATCCCTCCCAAGAACAGCATCATCATACGCCGTCCCCGGCGCCTTCAACGACCTCAGTCCCATCTCCCCAACACCAGCACCAGCACCTTTCTTTCCCTTCGGCCAAACACAAACCCCCCTTCCAACCACCCAATCCGCCTCCTCGACGCCTTGTCTCCTCCACCACTGTTCAACAACACAAGCAAACACATCCGAGATACTCTCACTCAGCGCCCCAGACTGTCCCTCGTACAATAACCCGGCCGTATGATCCGTCACTCCATGCATCAGCTCATGCACAACGACATCCAGACTTTTCGGGAACCCAGTGAAGTATACCCCGTCCCCGTCGCCGAAGATAATCTCCTGCCCGTTCCAGAACGCATTATTTAGGTTCTTGTCGTAGTGGAGACACCCGATGAGACGGAGACCGTCGTTGTCGGTAGATCGACGGCCCAGCACGGATGAGAGAAAGTGCAGGAAGATGCCGAAGCTGTTGTACACGTGGTTTACGGTGTCGTCTTGGGTGGTCGGGCCAGAGGAGGATTCGGTGCGTATGAGGAGGCCTGGGAGACCGCGCTTGTTGCGGCAGTCGTAGATGTCGCGGGCTTGGGCGTGCGGTGTGAGGGAGATGTTTGGGGAGGAGGAGAGGCGGATGTGGTGGATTTCGTTGGCGAGAGTGAGGGTGCGGAAGGCGGCGCGTCGGGCCTTGGAGGGGGCGATGGGAGAGGTGCTGATGTGGTGGAGGATTTGAGGTTGGATGAAGGTGCAGGTGTGATGGTCCCTGGTGGACATGGCTGGTCGTGATGGCTTGGTGCCTTGAGAATGTGTCCAGCAAAATGGAACTTTTGGGCGGTGATAGTACCAATTGCAATGCGTTATTCCTTGACTGAGTATACTAGAGTCAAGAATAGTATCTACGAAGCGAGCAATAATATTATAAGCCTAGACAATTTTATCAGTTTAACACATACGTGTTATCGGACAAGGATTCAATGTGCACAGCCATCGTGGTGATTGCGCGTAGAAAGCTTGTAACACGATAAAGATATCCCGTGTTGACATCGACCATGGATATGCAGTAGTATGGTCAATGTGGCCTGACTAAGATCAGGTTCGAAGGCAGGTCTGGATCGCCGCCATGACTTGGGGTAGTGGCAGTCTTCCGAAATACTAAAATTCTCGCCACTGCTACTGTTTCCAGTGCATAGATAGCTACGTTGCATTCCAGCCCTGCGTTCAGCGATTCTAGAATTGATAGCAATAAAGCCAAAGTATTTGCATCTGTAGACTTTGATAAGGAATTACCACTCATTATTACCAGAGCCAGAAATTGCGCTTGGGTCCATCTCAAAATCTTTGATATAGACCAGTAGACTGTTGAATGTGCTATACAGAATCTGCTATAGAAGTCGTGCTGAAAGCAGCTTGCAGTCAAGTAGAGTAACAGCGATGTCGAAGGTGCATGCATTGATAAGAAATGCGAAATGTCCGATCATGCATTTCATGCCAGTTAAATTACATACAGCGACTCGCTCTAAAATAAGCGTAGTGTTACAGGTTTCTTCCAAAAAATCCCGATCAGTGGTGGCGCCATGAATTAGGCGAGGTTGATTTGCTTCCAGAAACGGCATGCATCGTAGCTGATTGCACGACATTGTGACGATTATGCAGCTTTCTCGCTCCGTGGCGAGTGCGTTAACGTAGATAACCTCCGTTTGAGCAGACGATATTCATCGAAAGAGTTGGAATACTCGTCGAGAGCATTACGGGCCTTTCTATCCAGAGGAGTATCGTCCATACCCGGCTGGTTGTCTTCGGTATGATGGCAACACGGAAGGCACAACACGGCGTGCTCTTTGAAGCTGTCTTCAGGTTCATAATCTCGTTCCGTGTGGTAAGTCCAGAGGGCATCTGCTTCGGTACGATCCGGTGTGGAGAGAAGCCTCGAGGCGTTGAGATCCGAGATGTAAGGGGTGTTCGCGCAAAGAGTAGGGCTTCCGGTAAGAGAGAAGGAGAGTGGTTCTTGCCCGCGACCAATCAGGCCTAGGGACTTTCCAAGGGACCAAGGCATATTTTTTATTTGATAGAGTAGGGGAGTGTGATGGAGGGTGCGAAGTACTTCTGCTCGATACCTGCTTGCTTCAAATACTTTCTGCCTGTCTACGACCTGGGGCATTCCCCGCGAAAATTTCTGATATGGATCCTCTACGAGATAGGGCGGGGCCGACAACCGCAGGCGAGGCGAGAAAACGCCGAGCATTCTTCTTCGCAGACATCATCAGTCTATGGAAGATATGGTATGCTAGGCTGGTAGATGGTAGCGATGTAGTCGATACGGTGGTTCATGGCTGTGCAGGAAGGGCTGGGCTCGTTAAGGAAGGAGATCGGGAATCCCATATCGCTCATCGGCAGGCCTAGAATCCCCACTCAAGTAGAGCTCTCAGCTGTCGCCACGGATTGGGGATATTGCAGCCGAGAGCATAATTCAGGGCATTGCCAGGAGTCAGATTCTGATGTTCTGGCGTAGTATGTGAAATCCGGGGTGCTGATTGGGCGGCTGAATGTTCCGGCCAGCCAGCGAAGTTCTGGTTGGCTGGGAGACTCCAACAGCCCCGGACGCGTCCCTTGACAAGGCCAGATGTCACCCCATGGTTACAACTCCTCTTTCCCTGCTCGGCCTCGTCGGTTCTGGTGGCGCCGGCTGTCATGTCCACCATTCCCCATCTTCGGTAACTCGGCTGTCCCGGGCGGCTGGGCCACTGCAACTCCTCCGCGCACCGTGTTTCCAGCTCTCCGCAACCGGGGAGCTACCCCAAATAGACCTTTTGTAGATGCTGGTTCGCCAATCAAGCTCGATATCAGATTCACGCGTCTGGTTTAGCCCGTGTTCTGAGTGGAAACACTGAAGTATGACATGTAGAGCTCTTATCAGTTGTGGGACTGATACTGTGCTAGCGAAGTGTCGATAGAGTAGACCGGAAATTTGCCTGGTACATAGATAGAGCGTGCTTGCATTCTTGCCGTTCTGTATATTAAGTCCAGTCATCCTCACCCTCCTACTGGTGTGTGAAGATCACGACTAACTTAGACGAGACGACCATTCACTCACTGTCACTATCGCCACCCTCCACCTTCCCTCTTTTCATTTCCCGTTTCCTATTCCTCAGCCCCCTCGAGGCTACCATGTCCCGACCAAGGGCTGTGCGCGATGATCTCTGGATTGAAGAGGATGCCAAAGTCAATGTTGACTATCTTGCACATTCCTGGACGTATGATGAGATGTGGGCTACTAGAAAACATGTTCGCCAGATAAACCAGCACAGTCTTGTTAGATGTCGATTCGAAAATGCTCTTTGGAGAGCATGGCTGGCTTCTACCCGGCAAACTATTCGCATGCCGGCGGCATTCATCTCATGGTGAGTCTAGTCTAGTCATGGCCTTCTTGAATCGTGATATCCTGACTTAATGTAGGGACAAAGATAGCGACATTACCTGGCTCTACGGCCCATTGAAGTCAAGCAGAAGCCCCAGTCCAACACCGAGCGAGGCACCCCCGACACAAGCTCCTAGGAAGCCTTCCTTGAAGCGAAAGCCTAGCATTTGGGGACTTTCAGAAGAATCTTCAGCATCCAACGACCCTACAGATGGGAAGTCTCTACTTGGCCGGTTCTGGAACATAACCATCCATTCAGTCCCTAGTGTGAGTTAGAGACACTACCTACCACTTCATCCATCACTGCTAATATCTCATTGTGCAGATAATCCTCAGCTCGCGCGAAAATTGGAACAAGCGAAGAAAATGCCGCGTCCGATTTGAAGAAGAGGTACAGCAATGCCAGTACGCTCGTGACGGAAACATATCATCTCAATACAGCTACAACTACAACTATCCCTATTTCTTGGAAGAGGCTGCCTTGTATGGAAGCCATCATTATCAGCAGACCATTGAACCTCTACCATCAACCTTCCTTACTGGCTACGAAAAAATTCCTTCAGCAGACTCCGGCCGGTATTATTCTATGTCGAATTTCCTTGAGGAGCTGGAGTATGTCCTCTCTGCCTTTGCTCATTGGCCTTCTATACCGCCTAGGCTTACTTGATTCGTTGACCCGCGCTGACATTTGGATGACAGTGAGGTGATATGAGTATTGTTGTCGAAAAGCATTGTGGGTAGAGTAGAGAAAAGGGGATGATAATTAGATAGTACAGTAGTTGGGGTCTGTCAGAGAAGAGGGATCCTTATGCATATAATTCTTGTCTGTTATATAATTGCTACTTTGCTTTTGCTAGTGGGTCTGAAATTAGCGATGTTTTGCACACAGTCTTTTTCATCACGTGTCCCCTGCTTTTCTTGTATCTTCACTCCCCATTCTATCCTATCGGACACAAAGAAGTGGGAATGCCGCATCTCGGACATATGTGAGACAATATTGGAGCATTCCTAGGCGTCTGGGTACTAATTATAGTACATGACATAGCATGTCTGATAAAGAACGACGTGCATAGGAAAATTATATTAATACTATGTTCTATAGATCCATGCCCGCTCGAAACTATGCTATCATGCCAATTCATAACGCATCGTATTAGCTCTGACTGGAAGCTCAGACACCGGCGCTGAATCCACCTCATGAGGAATACTCGCATCAGCCTTCCCCGGTAGTTCCGTCACGACTCCATTATCCATCTCAGGGACGTAAGGCTTCTGCGCCAGTTCCGCGGGGTCCTTCTTGACATACTCAATGTCATCAGGCTCCTTTGTAGGGACGGGGATCCTCTTCTGTTTCATCTTCCGGAGACCGAACAAGACCGCAGCAATAATCAAAGCCGCGCCTGCCACCGCACCAACCACGGCACCAGCAATCGCGCCATTCGAGATTCCACTTCCATCTTTGCTGGCTGTATCACTCGCCGTGGAATTGCCGCTACTCGGGGTATTTCCCGATTTGGAAATGTCCGGCGCAAGCAACTTCGAGGCGAAGATATTGGCGGCATTCCAGGTATTCTCGAACGAAGGATCTTCGTTATACGAAGTAGAACCCCAGTCGGAACCACAGACAGTCTGATTACTCGTTCCATCGCATTGCTCGGCTACCGCCACAGCTGTGTCTGCTAGGAGCGGCACAATCCGACCGGCGAAATCCGGGATAAGGTTTGCCACGGATGCAAGGCACAGCGCTAGGAATCCCTTGAAGGGGTAAGCTGATAGCTTGGACTGCTCCGCAGTGCCTAGACTGGCACTGCTGTATCCGACTTCTACCATGATGTCGTTGAGAAAGAATGTGTCGAGCGTGCTGTTGAGGAGTCCTTCGGTCCGTGTCATCCATATGTCAGATTTGGTCTGCTGTCGTTAGCTATCGCCCCACAATGATCTACCTTCAACCCTAGACCAATGGAGGAAGTGCTGCTTACCGCTCCATACATATACGCCGCTCCACTCAAATAGAGCCCATACGCCATACTCCATCTCGCGGTATCCACAGCCTGACAAGTCGACGCATTCGCCGTCGTATTTGAGACCAGATCATACACCGACCACTCGGTGGTATTCACCATGCCCGTTTTCTCACTCCACGACCACGCACTCGCCCCATATTGCGCATACGTCCCCTGGTCATCGCCCTCACTCGCATATGCCACCCTCGATATAAGCTGAAAATACGCCCCGTTGCTGAACCAATCGAAGTCCGTCCCGTGCGTTTGACTCTCATCATCATACAATCCACCATTGCATATCGAGCCCTGACTAACGACCAGTTCCATTGTATACGCGACTTTCTTTGCCCAGGTCAGCCAGGACGAGTTGGTTGGACTGCCCGGAAAGTCCGCGTCTGACGCAGCCATTGCAGCAAGACCCCAAGTGACGAAGTCGCTGGTCAGAACGTTGATTTCTTCCCATTCGCCGGTGAAGATGCTCTTGGAGTGGTTGTGCATGCGCGAGATGATGAACTCGTTGTAGGTTGTATTGCCGGTCGCATTCCAGTAGGGGATTAGGGACATGTAGAGCATGCCTTCTGGGTAGGACGTGTTGTAGATGGGGTTGACGGTGCCGTTGAAGTTGGCGGTGCTGAGGAGGTTGGTGAATTCGATAGCGGAGGCGGATTTGATGGTATCTGTTGATTGTATTAAGGACCCTTCTTGTAATTGCAGAAACAGATGAATTCACATACCGGTGCTATTGATGTTAAAATCAATAGCAGAAACACCAATCATTAAGCCCGCAAAGACAGCAGCATATTCGCTTAATCGCATGAAACCCATGACTAGTAGTCTGAAGAAAGTAATGGCACTCAACCAGCTTTACACTTCGTGATACGGTCAGAATAAAAGATTTGCCCATCGCGTGAGCACCCTATACCTTATTAATAACCAATGCTGACAGGGTCTTCAGCCTCATGCGTCCCAGCTGGACTAGACTATGTAGCAGGTAAGGCTCTTCGCACCTGGCGGAAGCCATCTGACTGCTCCGTACAACGATGGCTGTTCATTGCCAATTTTATTCCGATCCACATGGGTAGCATTTAGGGAAGTCGAAATGGAGTTGTTGATTGGTCGGGTCGTCTACGGACTGGACGTGTGGGAATCGGCGACGATCCTTCGTGCGTGAGATGGATTTAGCGTGGTGGGTCGGCGGAGAAGAATCATTGTGGAAGAAGCGAAGATTGGCAGGTTTGGGCTGTTCAGCTAGCCAGATGGCCAAGGTATTAATGGCCATGGCTGTGCGGCTCAGCCACTATCAGGTAAATGATGGGTAGTCGGAGATTCAGTTGAGGATGTGATGTGGTGCGATGTGGTCGGGCGTTGTGGAGTCATCTGTTTGTCTCTAGTGTTTGTCTACGAATTGTACTCGAAAGTTAGCTTATCAAGGTAGGTTATTTCACGTGTTATCCTGTATTCAGGCGTATCTAATCGCTTTTGAGAAGCTCATGGAAGTATAATCAGCACTAAAGGTAGGTTGTGAGTTATCGGGTTCTGGCTTGCCGACACAGCTCTTGTATTTACCCAATTTTGACCTGGACAACTTATTCCAGCTCTTTCTGTCTACTTGTCCTGCAGCCAAAAAGATGATAA